GTTTAGATACACTGCTGCTTCATTGCAGACCGGCGTGCTAAAAGGTCTGGACTCCAGAGTATGGATTGAGGGGTTACCTGAGGACCAGGAACCAAGTCAGTTGCATATCCATGTTGAGTCATACCTACATTTTAATCTTCGATGATCTGTTTTGGGGATTGTGAAAAATATGAGTAAATGGTAATTATCACTCTGCGATTCATTTTTTTTCTCCCAGGAGTTCAGGGAATTTGTGTCTCAATACAGCTTTTGTATTAAACAGTTTGTCATTGTGTAAGAGAAGATTAAAGTTGTCATGTTTTATTTTATTATTATCATTTTTAAAAAAGATATTTTGTTGATTTTTTTTACAGAGAGGAAGGGAGAGGGATAGAGATTAGAAACATTGATGAGAGAAAAACATCGATCAGCTGCCACCTTCACATCCCCTACTGAGGATGTGCCTGCAACCAAGGGGTCCATGCCCTTGATCGGAATAGAACCTGGGACCTTTCAGTCTGCAGGCTGACACATTATCCACTGAGCCAAACCAGTTTCAGCATTAGGTTGTCATATTTTAAAATATTTTTTCATAGGGTTCTGTGTAGCCAGTGATTTTACATAAACCTTTATAGTGTGCTATATTTCTATGTTATGTGGAGATATTTATTGTTTGAGCGAGAGGGCCAGGATGCACTTATCTATTTTCCATAGACAAAATTAAACTTTTTATTAATAAATTAAATTTCTTAAAGCCCAAAGAACTTTCTTCTCTTCCTTACTTCCCTAACCTAGTTTTTAAAGTCTCTGAAAGCTTTTCTCTTGTTACAGTTCTTTTCATGGAAGATAGGTTTACCTATTCCTTTTACAACCTCAGCCGGTGAGTTTTATCTCGACATCATCTTCGCTCCCTTGTGCCACCTCCTGGGCCGCCTATTTCTCTTTGAATTTTCTTTTCTCCTGTGAGATGATGGAGCTCTGAGTGCCCTGATGGGGCGAAGGGACAGCACGGAGGCCACGCTGAGGATATGACTATTGAGTTTGCCTCTCAAAACCGATCAGTGCCACGTAAAGTACAGTCAGTTTCTTCTGGGGGCACTTTTTGATTTCTATTGTAACATTATTTGTTTCTGGAAGGCAAACTGATTTATTTTAGATTCTGAGCAAAAAAAGTCAGTATTAATTGATGCTGTAAAATTTAACTTAGAAAATATTTCACCAGGTCTTAAATATAACTCTTCTATCGTTATTAAATTTGTAGATATAGAGAGTAAGTATGATATAGGGATTGAGTTTTTATTTTTTAAAAGCTCAACTTGGCTGCAATAAGGTTATTAGCTTTTCCATGTTTAATATTTCTTTCAAAGGCTTTAATTATCTATTGCAAAATCAATTTTTCTAAAGTCTTTGGTTCTTTGTGAATTATTGGCTTTAGCCCTTTAGCTTGATTTTAGGAATTAATATAAGTGGTTTCATTTTTGGACTTATTTTATATCACAGCAAAAAAGAAAAAAGCTTTTTGCTACAATGATTGTTTTTTCAGGATTGATTTTTTTAATATAAGTGGAATTGTAATTTTATAATTTATTATATTTTAATTTTTACTTTATTATAAAAATATTAATTTAGTGTATATATGTACATGGCACATAGTAGTTAATATATATATATAAGATATATTTATATTATATCTTTATATCTATATATGTGTGTGTGTATATATATAATAAAAGTATAATATGCAAATTGACTGAACAGCAGAATGATTGTCCAGCTGACCTTCTGGATGACCACACTATGACATGCACTGGCATGTGATGTGATTGGTCGTGGGGGGCCTGCCATCACCCCACGATCATCCCGCAGGGGGAAGCTCAGGTCACCCTCTGCGGGTGATGGATGGGAAGGCTCCACAATCAATTGTCCCAAGAGGGAGGCCCAGTACACCACACGGCTGGTGGGTGATTGATGGGGGAGGAAACTCCATGATCACCCCACAGCAGGAGGCCCAGGCCACTCAGCTGGCAGTGCCAGGATGGGTGGGCAGGGCCTCCCTCTGCAGGGTAATTGATCTGGGGACCCAAGTACTACCAGGCAATGAGGTGGAAGTATTTGCTGTTATTCAGAGCTGATCAAGGAAGGCTTCATCGGCTGTGATGTTTTAGAAGAGAACTGAAAGCAGTGGAAATTGGTGTAATCCAGGTGAGACATGGTAGGATAGGAGCAGGAGAGATGGTGTGAAGAGGTCAGACTGTGGACTTGTGAAGATAGAACTGGCTGGGTTTATTGACTTAGAGGATATGGGCCATATTGAGAGAAAAAGTCAAGGATGATACCAATATATGTTTTAGTATATTATTAAAAAAATGACAAACATAGAAAATATAGAAACAACATTACAATTGGCACCTATATTCCTACCACTTAGATTCTACAGTTCTTAACATTTTTCCATATTTGCTTCAAACATTTTATTCTGTCAATGCGTTTTAAATTGTAGACATAATTTCTGCCAGAAATGGTTCAAAATGCATCTTTAAAAACAGACATTTCACAAATAACCAGATATCATTATAAACAAGCTGTTTGGTCCTTATTGACATTTTCCAAAACGTTTTTTATAGCATATTTGTACCAGTGAAGCGTCCAACCAAGACTCATTCATTGAATGTATTTAAACAAAACATTCCCTTCCTCATTATCTACTTAATTTTGACATTGACTTAGGAAAGAGATTAGATTACTTGTCAAGTAGACAGTCCTCTCAAGTGGTGGCTGTTTTCTTTGCCATGTGTTTCAAACAACTGGTCCTATGGGTGTTGTCAGTGTTTTCATGTCTTCCTTGCATCTCACTGCAATTTTGGGACCCCATCAGCCACCGCCAGCTCCTCTACTGGTAGTCTTGTGCAAACTACTGTGTCCTCCTCCCAGTTCTAAAGATTTAGTTCCTACTTTACCTCACTCCTTCTAACAGTCCTGCTGTCATAATTCTGTGTATGTTGTAGTTTTCTGTCTTATGAAGAAGCCACAGAGGTGAATGGGAAGGCGAGAAAGTGGTATTTGAAGTGAGCTTTGGAAAAGCGGTAGAATTTTTAGAGAAATGGTGATGCAGTGGAGTGGGAAGGAAAAAACCGTCTGAATAAGGGGTGGTGGTGGTGGAACACCTGCTAGTTGGCAAGGATGTGGGCCTGAAGCATGATGGGGAAGCTGACGTGGAACAGAAAGCTCCTGCACTTCCCTTAGCGTGGTGCACCTGCCAGGCTGGTTGCACTGCTTAGCTTTTCCTCCACCCCTCACCTCTGCGCTTTTGCTAAGGGGTAGGGTGAGGTGTAAGGAAAGAGGGAATTCGGGTCCCTGCTAGGAATGCACCACTCTCCTCTCATACATTCCTGTGGCACCTTGCAGCTCCGTGAACAAGTCCATTCCGTCTTGCCCACCTTCTATTTGTGCATCTTCTTCCTTTAAAGCATGAACCATTTCTTCATTGCTCCGCCCCTCTACCCAGCACTCAGAAAAAAATGCTCCATAAATGTCTCTCAGTATGTGTGAGAGAGGAAGAGCAGACACCGGTCGGTCGGAGTTAGTTGGGGGAGGGCTCTGAATGTCATGTGAAGGGCTTTGGGCTTGCTCTGCCTATAGCCATGACCGCGGCAGCTTTGGAACAAAGCAGGGCTGGGCTGGTCAAGCTGGGGTGGAAGGAGAATATCAAAGTGCCTCCGTGGTCTGGAGAGCTCTGAGCCAGAGACAGCAGCCAGGAGGGGCAGAAGCGGGGGGGGGGGGGGGGGGGCGCGCCAGTAGTTAGCACCTGCTGAACCTGGGTAGCCACTTGAATGGAGGGATTGAAAAAGAAGGAGGGAATGGCATATGGCTTTGAGGTTCAGGACTGGGTGACTAGGAGACAGACAAAGCCTTCTTACTGAGCGTGGGACCCCAGGGGCCATGTCAGAGCACATAAGGGGCTCAGCATGGGTCCTAGCACTTCCTCATCCCAAACCCTCCCTGAGTTCAAAATGATATGTGCTGTTGAAAGACTCAACTGTGTCAAATATGATGGAAATGAGATACTGTCACTACACGAGGCACAAAAAAACTGACTTTCGTGTAGTGAACATTTTTCACTCGGCTTTAGTGCTGGTTTTATTAACAACGGATGTTAGTCAGCTTTTTTAACCTTGACTCTTGGCCGTGTCAGAGCAGCTAACCATGGGATGGTCAGCAGCTTTCTTTTGGCTCCTGCGTCCCTCCTGCCTCCTTCCTAACAACAGAAAATTTGCTTTGCACCTGCTCCAACTGGGTTCTAAGTGATAAACATCTTGCAAGCCCAGAAAATTGTAGTATCAAATCTCAGCCCCAACTGTGAGGCAGCACTCTCATCGAATCCCGCCGCCGAGGGGGTCTGCTTTCCCATTTCCCCGGGGGATCCTTTCTTCCCTAGCCCCTGCTCAGGCTTGAACTATGACCCAAACCCAGTTTTAAGCTCCCAGCATGCACTGCTCTGGCTGCAGGTCCTGACCCCGCCCTGCAACGCTCTCCCTCACCCCGTAGGTCGGGCCTGGGTAGCCCCGAGGTCCCCTAGAATGCCCAATTTCAAAGATGAGAGTATTTATCCAAGGAGAGGAAATAGGCTTTTCTATTTGTTACAGTCCATCGCTTTTCTCCCCAGAAACGCACGCTAAAGGAACATTGAATATTTCCTTTGTGATTTAGTAAATATATAAAAACCTGGCCTAATAATCACCATGTTTCTTTTATTCACATATTCCTTCATAAATTAAATGCTTTGTTATAACTCATGATTTATTTTAAGAGGGATATTCCGATTTTCACTGCTAAGAAATGTAAATGTTTTAAGCTGATGCCATATTTAGGAAAACTCTTGTAAGAATTTCAAGTAAAATTAGCAAATACTATTCAGGTAGGTCTATAACATTCTAATTGGACTTAGTCCATGGCTTTAAAGGGAATAAAAAAACAAAGGCTGACAGAGACTGTGTAACATTATCTTTATGCTTGTTTCTTAGGTTTTTCAAACAGACCAAAGTCATTAAAAATATTCCTTAACCCCCAAAGCCACAGAAAGGAAGCTAAACAGATATATTATGAGAAGGTTGAGCCACTGTTGAAGATTGCAGGAATTGAGACTGATGTAACAAGTAAGTGATTTTCAGACTATAATTTTGCCATAAAAAAAAAAAAATCACACTTTAAGGAAACAAAATAAGCTGAATTTGTTCTTTTTTTTTCTTCTGAATTTGTTCTTAATCCAAATTTAGGAAGCTACTTGTGATATCGAAAGTTGTTTAAGGGTTTCCTAAGCTCTGCGGCAGCCAGCTTCAGGATGATGTTTAATTATTTTTTCTTTATGTGATATTTTTTATTACAGTATCAGTATTTTCTCTTTAGAGACTTGAAAAGTGAGTAGGTATTGCTTTTTGATATCTTCGTTGACATGTCTGCTATTTACACTTCATTTCTGCAACTTGGCAGGCAAGGGACCTTCTCTGACTTAAATGTTGGCTGTCTCTCCATGGAGTCCTTCCTTAGTGGTTTTTGTTCTGACTCTGACCCCTGCTGGTTAGGTCAACACTAAGCACTTACTGATGGTTTTAGATGAATTTAAAGAAGCCAGAAGCTTAAATCCATTGTCTAAAATAAGAAAGGTGCTTAAGTTTGTGCCTAGGAAAACAGAAACTCCCTACTTCTGAAGTTAATATAGAAAGAAGATTAGTAAAATCTTTTTTAACTTTTTTGAATTTGGTAACCAAATTATTTTGAGACAAGATTATTTTTTCCCACAGGGAGGTGGGACTGAGAAGGAGGGTTGATGCTAATATTGTAAATCATACCCTCATTTTTTTTTCTGGTTTTACTTCTATGTAGCTTTGCTAATACACAGTGAAGAATTATGGTAAATTTTAATTTATGAAGAGTATTGAGCGATAAGTCTGCTCAGAGGCAAGGCTGGAGTGCGCCTGGAATCACCTCTTCCCAGTGGTAAATTCCTGGGGACGGGATCCAGATGACCCGGCTTTGCTCAGTTGTGACCACAGGATAGGGGTTTCCCAATGCTCCTAAAGTCAGTGAAGCCCACGCCTCATGGTTGATGAGTTGGGGTAGAAGGAAGTTTCTAAAAATAAAATGAAAACAAGAAAGAAAAGGCAATCATTGTGGGAAGGTCGGCCATCTGAAAAGGCTGCCACAACAAAAGAAGTTCAAGAGAAACGAACATAAAAAACACAAGAGAAATTTCCGAATTAAAATTAAATTGTAGCCAAAGAACCATAACCCATAGATACTGACAACAATGTGGTGGTGGCCAGCGGGAGGAGGGAGAGGGGCTGGCTAGAGGTGGGCCAAGGAGGGCATGGGATGAGGACACCTGTCATAGAGTCACCGATAGAAATAAAGTTAAAAAATTAACAAATGTGCTGGTAGGTAAAGTCTCAAAAAATAAAATTAGAGGGTAGAAATAACCCTTTCATCATGTGGCTTTTGGCTTACTTAGATGGCTATAAGCAAAAGAAACAGTACAAATCTATCATTCTTTCCCACTGAAGACGTTGAAAGATTGGCAGAAGGAACAGTTGGACATTCATATTAGGATGAGCAGAATAAACTTATTGGCAAACTCATTAAAACTATTTGGTTTCATACTATTTTGATTTAATATCCAGAACAGTTTTATGTGGATATTACTACATATCATTCAGTTCAAGAAGCTCTTGTGGAGTGATTTGTGTTAAACACTGCAGAATGGGAGAGGAATAAGATATGCAACCTGTTCCGGAGTGACCTGTATAGGTTATTATGGACACAAATAGGAATTTAAAATAAATGTCATTAGAGTAATATAACAGAACTAAGGTGCCACAAAGGATGATATTAATTTTGACCAGAAGACTAAAGTATTTGAATTGGGGCAGTTTTGGAGTGTCAGAAAAGGCAAAGAATGGTTTTCCATGCATACACAGCAGAAGAAAAGTGAGGGAAGGTAGGCCAGCTAGCAGGCATGTAACAGGTGGGGTATGTGAGTGTGTGTGTGTGTGTGTGTGTGTGTGTGTGTGTGTTGTACCAATAATATTCAGGGAATACTTTGCTCTGCCTTTGAGTTTTCACTTCATCATAAATTTGGTAGTTTCAATCATCATAAAATGGTTGCTAGTTGATTGGATTTTTCTTTATTCAAATGTAGTGGGGTGGGAAAAGGTGTGTGAATGTTAGAGATCCAAAATGCTTTAATACTGAAAAAAGATTCAAATTTCTTCCTTTTAGATGGACTGTCCCAGTGTAGTATGTATGCCCAACCTGGAGCAATCGATCTCTTAGCTCTCTATAACCTCCCTTGGGCTGAAGGTGGGACCCCATTTCCTAAAGGCTGAGAATACCTGAACTGATCCCGGGTCCAGTTAGGGAGATAAAAAGGCAAATGAGCATCTGTGAAGGCCCCCAGGATTGTACACAAGATGAAGTTTGAGTCTGGATTATGGATGGATCTTAATGTTACTCTCAGGAGTTTATTCATCAGGCATTGATCCAGAGTGGGTATAAATGTTTTATAGAGTTGTAATCTGGTTCAGCAAAAATGATTCTGCTAGCAGAATAGAGAGTAGGAAGGCGGATAGGAGGATCTGAAACTGGTACAGAGGCCTGCTCTAAGGCAGAGTTAATGATCGGAATATGGTTTCCTTCTTAAAACAATTGCGTGGTAGAGAAAAGATTATGTTCCTGGGCCTTTTTTCTAAATTTGTAAATGTTATTGAATATTATATTTATTTTGACATAAAATTAGAATATTACATATTTGTGGAGAATGGCTAATTATTGCCTAACACTCCCCCCACAGGCAAAATTATAAAATTGCATCTTTTGCTTATAGAACCATTTCAGTATGTATATTTACTAAACATTTATATAAACATGTTTTCTATTTTGTGTGAAGAGATGAATAAACATGTGGATACTTGAAACATTTTAGAATCCTTCTGCCTAGTCTCATAGTGTCATTTTGTAGTTTGAATAAAGAAATGTATTTGAAATTACCTTTTGTATTAGAAAATGCTATAGAAATGTCATAATGCTGTGCATTTCAGTTTTATAAAATTATGCAACAGTAAGATTCAATTCACACTTTATTTGAAAGAAAATGCATCTTAAAGAGTAAAGCAGAAAGAGTACATATTTTCTGCATGTCCAGTGCGATTCTTATTCAATGTTCTTGCACACATTGCTGACTGCAAATGGAATTTGAATTACATAATAAGTTCTATACAATGATTACTCATTAGAAGATAGTGCTGTATAAATGAGTGCTATATAAATTATAGCTAGATTTATAAAGTCATTATAAAGTAATTTTTTCTATGACTTTCTTTTAAACATCTCATCACATTAATAAGAATACACTTACTCCTTTCACATTGCTAATGCTGAAACCCTAACCACTTCTGGAAATACTTCAGCATCTTTAGAAATAGATGAGCTAAAGTTGCATTCTCCTACCCCCCATCATCAATATAGTATCTTATTTTCATAACTAGAGACCTGGTGCATGAACTAGGGTCTGTAGGCCTGGCCGGCAATCAGGGCTGATCGGGTTCTTCCTTCCCTGGCTCCTGGTGGGGCCTCCATTCCCTGGCTATCAGCTGCCAGCTGGGGCCTTCCTTTGTTCTGTGCCACCCCCTGGTGGTCAGTGCACGCCATAGCAAGCAATTGAACTCCCAATGGAACTCCCAAGGGGAGACTTTGCATATTAGCCTTTTATATATATAGATGGTTCAGAAAAACTTTTGGAAGAAACTGAAAAAAAAAAAAAAACCCTGATTTTTTTTAATACTTTGGTATATGAATCAAGGAAAAGCATATGTGGTAATCCCATGTAGGCATGTGCTATCATTGCTCTCACTCCCTACCAAAACAGAGGAGATTTTAGGAATTAGACTATTAAAGGAAAGAGAATTTTTGAGAGATCCTTAATCCATAGGATTCATAAGATAATTCTGAAAGTAATGAAGTGAAAAAGTTAAGACAGCAGAGAAATCAAACTGGAAAGAGCTGTAGAGGCCATCTAAGTCAATTTCCCCCAGGTGGTAGGTAGAGTGCAGGGGTGTAACATTCCTCATAGGTGAGCATCCAGCCTTGACTTGGGCATCCTATGATTGAGTCATTGTGTGCCACGGATGGGCAATACTAGTGGATAGTCTTATCTTGAATTCAGGGTCACTGTGGTTTTGTTCAGATTAGAACATGATGTCTCCTTTTGCTGAACTACAGAAAGGTGCCCTGATCGGTTGGCTCAGCTCAAAATCACCTAATATGTTGGGTACGTGCACTGGCTGGACTGCAAACCCACTTGCCCTTTTGCCGGTTGCCTTTGTGCAAGACATAAACTGCACAGCATGGAGAATTTGTGAGCTGACATTTGCCCCTTGTCATTTTTATCTACTAGAGAAAATGATATCCTTTGTGGGAATGCATAATAAGCGACTTAAATATACCCCATCTTCTACATAAGAGTCACTGAAATATTTGAAAACTGATATAACTGTCCTTGACCTCGCTTGTTCGTGACATGCAACTCCATCTCCTTCAGTCAACCTTTGTATTAAAGCACCGCTAAGCCTAATCGTGCTCATTATCGTTATTATGGCCCACGTTACCGCTGGGCACAGCCTCCATCTTTGCCAGCTCAGGGAGTGCCCCCTCACCAGGTAATTTTTACTTCCTGGGGCCCTGGGCAGAATTGTCAAGAAAGTAGTTTATTTTCACATCCCTCTTTTTTCTCCTTCTTACATCCAACTTTTGCCAACTCTGCTCTTTGGACATTCCATGTCTGGCTCTTTGTATCCAACTGAAGCCTTCCTCCTTTGGAGATGCTGCTTGTTATTCCTTCTGTCAGCCTGTGGAAAGCTAGGCAGTTTGAAAAAACAGAGTCACTAAAGATGGTAGCAGGCCGAGGCATTGCTCCTTTCCAACATCACCTGCTTCTTATTAGAAGTCTGGGGAGTGCCCTAACTGGTTTGGTTCAGTGGATAGAGCGTCAGCCGGCAGACTGAAAGGTCCCAGGTTTGATTCCGATCAAGGGCATGCTCCTTGGTTTGGGGGACATCCCCAGTAGGGGGTGTGCAGGAGGCAGCTGATCTATGTTTCTCTCTCATCGATGTTGATGTTTCAAACTCTTTCTCCCTCTCCCTTCCTCTCTCTCTCTATATAAAAAATCAATAAAAAAAGAAAGTCTGGAGAGTGACTATTCTTACATCATAGTCAGCTAGCAAGAAAGAAAATCCTAGGTGAAAGGTTCTTTTCATTATACCATAAATAATTGTGAATGTACATAGCTGATCCCATTTCATATAATCGGATGTCAGTTAGGAAGTCGGAACTGTATCCTGGGGACAGTGAAGAGTCATGAATGGGGTTTATATAGGGAAGTGATGTGATTAAGTTTGTGTTGTGAGAAAGGTCATTCTGGCTCCAGTGGGATAGAGGTTGGAGAGAGATGGGAGAAGAGGCTGTTGTAACATACACATTAAAGATGGTGGCGCCCATATCCAGGGCATTGGCTGGAGGGATGTTGGGATGCTGTAACATAATTAAAGCCAGAAACAACTGACTTTGGCCATGAGATGGTTGTGGAGAGGGGAGGAGAGGGATAATCTAGGAAGAAGTAGTTTTCCTGTCTTGAGCAATGGGGAGTGGATTACAGAACACAAACGGAACAATGGATGTATTTGAGAAGAATATATTTAAAGGTGGAAAGAAAGGCTTTCCTTTTTGAGATTACTAAGTTGTAGCACCTATAAGATAAGAAAGCAGATGACATCTCAGTATTTTTAATCCAAGTTTAGAATTTTATTGCCTGACAAAATAATGTTTCTTTATGTCCAGAGGAAATCATCCGTTTGCACTTCAACCCATTTCCTCATCAACATTCAATATCAACCTCAAGACAGTACCTTTCAGGTTTGTCTTCCTGGGGAAGTAATTTAAATTGGTCATTAGGATAGGAAATCTCAGCAGTGAGAACTGTTTGAAGACTTGAAAATAATGAGACTCCAAATTTCCTGTATGGAAGGGGTGTAGGGTATTAGCCTCATTGGAAAACGATGGATGAAAAAAGAGCTAGCAACCTTTGGATACTGTATCTGCTCAGCGGTCTACTCTTTTTAAAAAAAATTTATTTTATTTTATTTTTTTATTATTATATTCCTTTGGAGTCATATTATTTGAATGTTTTTTTTTCTGATTCCAGAGGCTATACTATGCCATCTAAATACATATTTTGAGTCATTCTATATTTAAATAGTAGCCCAGATTATTCTCTATAATTTTCCCTTAAAATAACTTATTACTATTTTATACTTATTTTTAAAAATTAGTATACACTGTCGGTATCTGGAATGTGAAGACCAAGGACTTCATTCATTTTGTCCTAATATATTGTGGCTAAGTTTGTTTCATCTTTTCTGTCTTTTTATTTCAGCTCAGTGATTTTGTTTAACTTATAAACAGTATCCCTTAAAAATTGCTCTTCTTGGATGATTTGCATCCATGTATAATCAAATTCTGCCTGCAAGATAAAAGGAAAAATAAACTTTTTCAAATTTTACCTAAGTAAAAATAGCATTCAGCCATGACATATTTTTAAGCTAATTTTGTACTGGGGTTGAGAAGCTTCTCCAAAGTAAGTGTTGGTATAAAAGCGAGACTTGACAAACTGTTTCTCAGCATAAATATTTCTTCATGATATTCTTAATTATTTTTAATGTGTGTATGGAGATATTTTTATTACTTTTCATTTAAGGTTGTAACTACTTACTGAGGTTATGAATAAGTGATCAACACAAAATCATTTATGATAACTTAAACTTCCAGGCTGGTAGCCTTCTTCTGATTAGAATTTAACACAGAGAGGCTTTACTCATGTGAATATAATGGCATTTGAATAAGCTGTGGGAGAATTACAATGTAACGCTGCTGGATACAGAATGATTCTTTCAGACACCAAGACTAATAATATCTAAAAACACTGTAGGAAAAGCTTGAACCATGCTGGCACCAGGGACAGACAGGCATGAAAGATTAATGTAATCTTGCATATAACGATGCGCATTCTTACACACAAAAAAAATCCATCTGCAGTGTCACGTCAGTCAGCAGAAATCTTTGATGGGTGGATACAGCTGGGCTGTCTCTGCTGGCAGAGCTGCCCCGGAAAATGCTAAACGTGGCTTGGGATGCTTGGTGCCATCTGCAGAGTGCCAGTTTATCCTGTCTCCACTGGCATTTACAATGCTGCACGGGGCCTCATAGCTGTGGAGACAGCAATAGGGAGTGACAGATTCATTTCCTCGGAGGACCCGCTCTGGTGGGCCTGCACCACCCTCCTTGGCTTGGATTTGTTACCACTGGTGTTGGCTTTGCTTCACGTTTCCACGTCCAACTCCTCCTCCTCCTCCTCCTCGTCGTCTAGCAGTTCCAGACGCACATTCTTCTGGGATGTAAATCTTACACTAACCTTTCCAGTAATGTATTCGTGTAAGGTTGCCAAAGCGATTTAACACCGACGGCTCGATGCCAGCCAATATGCCTTATTTTCAAAATACTCCTGCTCCCAGGCTTCTGATTTAAGAGAAATGTGTCTCATGTAGGGAACACTAAGTAGACTGGCATCAAGATAAATGATCCAACTGCTCTGGGTGGGATACCCCCGTGTGACTTATGGAGTTGGAACAAACGTATGACCCTCTTTTACATAAAGCTGTAAAACACATCAGGCAACTACCAGTCCTCGTTCCCATGATTAAAATATAAATATTTAAGAGTAAATGTTGTTTTGCGACCCGACCATATGTTTATATTATTTTGCCAGACTCAGTTAAAAAGTGTAGATCATTGTTTAAAACTTTCACTTGTTGTGGTTTTTTTTTTTTTTTAATAGTAACAGAATATGAAGGGCATGCTCTGTCACTGCTAAAGGAATGCGAACTACAGGGATTTGATGGGTAGGTTACATTATTAATAAATGTATGTCATATGGTTTATATTATTAAATGTTTTCATTAGGGGTTTTTTGTTGTTGTTGTTAATCCTCACCTGAGGATATTTTCTTCCATTAATGTTTTAAAGAGAATGGAAGGGAGAAGGAGAGACACACAGAGAGAAACATGGATGTGAGAGAGACACATTGGTTGTCTCCTGCAGGGGCCTGCAACTGAGGTTCAGGCCCTTGACCGGAATTGAACCTATGACCCTTCAGTCCGAGAGCCGATGCTCTAATCACTGACCAAACTGGCCAGGCCTATTCTCATTAGTTTTTAGCTATATATTTGGGACTTACAGTTTTTAAGTATTTGTGATGTATATAATTCAGCATGATTTCTTTCATATCCGTGTAATGACAGTTAATGGTAATCATGATAACAGGACATAGTCATCACCTCTCAAGATTGGGCATAGAAAGCAAAAAGGAGAAATGTAATCGAGGTTCTGGGAAGTCACAGGGTGTTATGCTGTACCCATGTGAGTGTCTAGAAAAGCCCTGAGGGAAGATACTATGTCGGTCATACAGCATAACTGTACCGTGATCCTCTCCTGAAAATTTATTGAGAGTGCTAATAGCAACCCACTAGTTATTTGACTGTGATTGACAGGGTAAATATTTTATAAAAACAGACATATTATTTTCATAATGAATAACAAGATGTTAATTTAAACTATCTTCTGTGATTCTGTAGCTACCTAATAAGTGTATCATTCACCATAGACATCGGGAACTGTTGTGTGCAGTGCACTGTGGGAGTGTGTACAAAGTGTGCAATGAAATGCAAACATTAGAAACAGGGCAAGTGGCATATAGTTTAATAGCCATTTTTAAAAATCAGGTGTGTTAATTTGTTAAAGTGCTGGGTTGATATAGAAGATAAAAACATTCTTTCCAGGGGTGGACATTTCAGAGTTCTGAAAGGTGGCCAGTGTGTGAATTACTTGTGTCACGTGGCCATGTGTGAGGGGGACAACAAAAGACTCATCATGTGGAGAAGGGCAGGTGGGTCTTTCAACCAAAGTGAAGGGCTTTGCCATACAACGATTAGAACGTGTTCGGGAGGAAAGTGATCTAATCAAAATGGAGCATTAGAAGTATTATTTTCCAAAGTACTTAATATATATGTATTATTATTATTTTTGCTGAGAAGAATATTAGTAGTTGAAGAAAGTTTGGTAAGTAAAATTATTTTTCAAAAAGTAATTTAATAGATAGGCATACATCTAGATAACAATATTATATAAATGATGAGGAATATGGGGCAGGCAATTCAGACTTAGAGTTAAACAGGTTAATTAATAGGCTACATTTAGGAAATTATCAAGTTTACAATTTAAGAAAGTAATTGGGGGAATCATGCCCACTAACTACATACTTTAATATACTGCATAGCCCTGAATCATAATTGGGGGGTAAGTGTAAGGGTGGCTGCATTTCAAATAAGCTCTTGCTTCCAAACATGATAATATGCATATGATAGATATCGTAGATATTAGACCTGGTCTTCACCTTCAGCGTTATGAAGTGTCTGGCTCAATGTGGTATCTATGAATAAGTTTTATTGGTAATTATATTTTGCAAGGATCAAAAATAGCTTTGCAGCCCTAACCGGTTTGGCTCAGTGGATAGAGCATCGGCCTATGGCCTGAAGGATCCCAGGTTCGATTCCTGTCAAGGGCATGTACCTTGGTTGCAGGCACATCCCCAGTAGGGTGTATGCAGGAGGCAGTTGATGGATGTTTCTCTCTCATTGATATTTCTAATTTTCTATCCCTTTCCCTTACTCTCTGAAAACATCAATAATATATATATATATATTTAAAAAAAAAAAGAATAGTTTTGCAGAATGATGCAAGATTATTGCTCAAGCCTTGTATGGTCACCTTTTCCTCTTTACCTGAACCTACTTAATTTTTGTTATTAGTTTGCAGTGTGGCACTAACAGAATATATAGGTCCTTTAGTTAATACCCACATTTTTTTAACCAAATAGTTTGGCCTACTCATTATATGAACTGAGTCCCAGTAATTAACTATTTTTAAACTCTAGCATGCTGATCTAGTTAGAACTTACTGTAATTTGAAAGTTCTCTATTTTATAAGATCCTTTAAATAGTTCATTTATTTCCTTGGGCTCATTTCCACACACACCCCCCCCCCCGCCCTCCCGTAGAAACTGATATGGTTGTTGGGATCTTAATAAAATGGTCATTTTAATCCTCTACACTTAGAATTACCTAGAGAGGTATATGAGGAGAACAATGGAAATGTCATTTCTTAGTCACTTCCAAAGAACCATTTTTAACAAGTGGACCATTTGAAGATGCAATGCCCTACAGTCCTGAGTTCCCTGTCCCTGAACCTGTTGAAAGAGTGCCTCTGTGGGAGCAGTTTTTGAAGCATCTACATGAAGACTCCAGGGTGGGATAAGGAGTCTCACTGTTCTATGGGATTTTGATGAGAGAGGGGCATCATTCCTCCAAGGATGAGCTCTGCCTGACTCTGGAGGGGAGCTATTTGTAGACACAGAGGGGTTAGGATCCAAGAAAGATTCTGAGTGTATTTTTCGGTAAAGCGAAAATGGTTTGGTAAGTGTTGTTTAAGAAATGTCATTTGCCCGGATTAATGAGTTGCATATGTTTCTGTGAAGACACATTGTGACATATTTCTAAAGCCAACAGGAACAGTGTACAGTACTCATGACAGCTGGTGTGCAGCTCCAGTGTGTTCTGGAAAAGAGATCCTGTTGCTGAAATGTTAGGAGCGTCAGTTTCTATATTGGCCCCTCTATTGAGCACAAATGGCAAGTTTTGCAAAGGCCAAGAAAAGATGTGAAGCAGTAACAGTTGAATGTATAGAGTAAATATGGTTAAGCAAATCTGTAGCTCTTAGGCCATTATAAATATACTAATATTTTCCTATTTTGTTTGACATGTTTTCCAATTGAATTTATTTAATTATGTATTTTTACTTATTTTGTTAATTTCACCATTTACTAGAACCACAATCATTTAAACATTATTTGGCTCACATTGACATTTGATCACATTGTCCATGGTATCCGTATAGTTAAGGTTAGCGAAAAGGATCTCTTTTTGAAAAATGTTTTAAATGAAAAAAATCCAATAATATAGTGAATAATTAAAAAATGATATTGGTTGATAGGTAAATACACAAACATCCATTTAATTTTTATTTTATTTTTATAAAGAGATATAAGATAATAGCTCCCAGTTGTACTTTTCCAGACAGAATCATTCTACTTTGGACCATGGCAAGAAAAAATCAACTTATCCTAAAAACATATGATAGGCTATTAATACATGCCAAATATTAGTTACACTAAGGGTTATGTTCTCTTAAGTGTGGTTAAATTAGCTCATTATGAAAGGTTGATTCCCCCCCCCCCCTTTTCTTGTAGTATCCAGACCCTTGTGATATGTTTGTATTAAGTATATTTGTAGGTTTAGTAACTACATCTGGAAATGTTCTTAATGATCTAGCAGGAGTCAAAATAATAAATACCTCTCTAACTCATTTAATTTCACATTAGTTATCCCGGTAAACTGATTTTCAAAGTAATAAAACTCTCATATGGCTATCCTTAATGAGGTTTTACATTGTGTAGGAAAGGAAAATGATATCTTGAATAAAAGTGCAGTCTCCAAGGCCAAATTGTCTTATTTCAAATCCTCATTCTGTCACTTACCATGGCATGGCCTTGGAAAAGTTACTTAATCTTTCAATGCCTTAGTTTTCTAATCTGTAAATTGAGTGTGAATGTATATCTGTTGTATACAGTTATTGTTCAAATTAAATTAGTTAATACATGGTGAGTGCTGAGAGCAGTGCCCAATACAAAGTAATTACTCACTAAATGTTATTTTATTGTAATCATCATTTGTTATAATTTCAAAATATGTGTGATGATAATATTTCCAAGGCTTTTATAGCAGAGTGTGTTCATAGAAAGGCTATCTGTACTAACTCCAGTTAATGTGTACACGCATTAACGTGTACATGATGTTCTAACTGGATGCAGGATCCCAGGGACCAGAGGCTGCTATGCTGTACAAAAGAGTCAAGACCTTTGGCATTAAGTCAGATGCTTTTTTTTTTTTTAATTGATTTTTCACAGAGAGGAAGAGAGAGGGATAGAGAGCTAGAAACATTGATGAGAGAATCATCAATCAGCTGCCTCCTGCCCACCCCCCACCGGGGATGTACAGCAACCAAGGCACATGCCCCTGACTGGAATCAAACCTGGGACCTTTCAGTCTGCAGGCCGACGCTCTATCCACTGAGCCAAACCAGTCCTGGCAAGTTAGATGCTTCGTTAGGTGATTTTACGAGCTCCTTTTGGGCCACACACACCTCAGTAGGTAGACAGGCATGGATCTGAAAATTATAAGTTTATACAATGTTTGGAAATTTGCTCATAGAGATCTTTAAAATCATACAGATAAGATTCAAATCAAACCTTGGCTTCCTCATTTATAAGGATGAGGCTAATGCTTAATTTACAGAATTCTGAAGATTTTCTAGAAAAGAGCCAAGATATTATCTTACCTAATAATAGACAAATATGTAAATTGACCATGCCTCCACTATGCCCACCAGCCAATCAGGAGTGACATGCAAATGAACCCAACAAAGATGGAGGTTATTTTGCATACACAGGCATCTAGCGGATGGGGTTGGGTTGGGGAGGTAGACTGGTTGCTTGCATTGTTGCCATGGTGACGACACAGGCATTTTACCCCACCCCCGGTCTCTCAGAGCTTCTGGGTAGCATAGGAAGGCAGGGCCAGAGTGAAAGCAGTGCCAGCAGCCAGGGAAAGGAAGGCCCATTCTAGCACAAATCTTCCTGCATCAGGCTTCTAGTCTGATATAAAATTGTCCCTGAGTAAATAAAATCACTTCTGATTCAGTGGCCACAATGTGAACCCGTGGAATCAGTTTAGAAACAAAACAATACCCTGAGTCCAAAATGGCCTGGGTCGTATTGCACATCCGAGAGCCTGTTCTAACTAGAGAGGACCTGGATCTTGGGCTACATGCAACCAAATGGCTAACCTCAGCTAGGTGAGGGTCAGCCAGACTGAGAACAAGGTGGAGAGAGCTGACGGACAAGCTCCCTCAGCCTCTGGATTCATCAACATCTGGAGCTTAGGGAACCAGTGAGCCCTGCTGATTATGACCTGCAGGCTGGGGGGGAGGGGAGTAGTTATTTGTTTGTTTGTTTGGTTTGGCACATAGTATTTTTAAATAGATAAAATGCTAGTATTTGCAGATGAAAGGACAACCCCAAGTCAGAATCTGTGGCTTCAGAAGATGTGGTCCTCAAGGGCTGCCCCTACAGGTGGTGTGGGTGGGAGCTGAGAAGTGCCTCTCCTTTAGACTGAACGTGCTCTTCTGTTCTTGCTCCGCCCTTGAGTTGTGACCCGTTTCCAATGACAAAATCTTCCTTTTGTGGCCCTGCCGGTGTTGCTCAGTGGTTGAGTGTCCACCCACTCGCCCAGAGGTCACTGGTTTGAGTCCCAGTCAGAGCCCATGCCTGGGTTGCTGTGGGCTCAATCCCTAGCATACAGGAGGCAGCTGTTGGATGTTCCTGTTTCTCATTGATGTTTCTAGCTCTCTTCCCTCTCTCTTCCTCTCTCTCTTAAAAGGAAAAAAAAATACTTAAAAATTTTTAAATCTTTCTTTTGAGAAAATTGAGGTGATTTTGCTACTTAAGGTTATTTTGAATCTTCTAAGTACAAGTGATTATGAAACAAATGTCTGATGTCTTCTATATTACTTTCATGAAATCCCACCTCCAAAGCCCTATAGACTACTTTTCATGAAGTCTTAAAGAGATGAGCTGTACTGACTGGGTCAGAGGGTAGTAACACTAATTTTGGAAGTGCCACTTAGTAATGTCCAGGAGATGAAAACCAGCCCAGCTTTGCAGTCTCAACAGTCATATACTAATGATAATTAGCCATTCCTTAAATTAAAGCCTCATACTTTACGCGACTTTTATTTCGGTCTTTCTAGAGCTATATTGAAAATGAGCAGGATTTTATGACTTTGTTTTGTATCAGTGAAAGGAATTGCCCATCACTATTATTAACATTTAAAAAATGAGAATAATGTGGTTTTAGATATTAACAGAGCACAATGCAGGTCAGATGTGAATTTGCACCTTCGATACCTCTTTACCCATTTAAAAATATTTACTCTGTGGGTATCATCTAGGTATTACATCCATGGAGGGAATGGCTGAAAGTATTATATTCCAGGGAGTGCAGGTATCTTCTTATCCACTACCACATACTAAAATGTGGGGCGGTGACTAGTGATCATACACATAGAATATAGAAGATTAATAGGTAAAGTCCAGGTCTTGTGAGTTATTATCAACGATGTTAAAGTCTTGCATTGTCTCATGTAATTTCTTGTTTTCTAGTGTCGTCTGTGTTGGTGGAGATGGTTCTGCCAGCGAAGTAGCCCACGCGCTGCTCCTCAGAGCCCAGCAGAGTGCCGGCCTGGAAACGGACCGCATCCTGAGCCCTGCCCGAGCCCAGCTGCCGCTCGGGGTGATACCGGCAGGCAAGGGAGCGGCCACGGCTTTGCTAAACGGACCCTCTCCTTCTCTCCTTCCCCGCTCCCCTGTTTTACTTCCCAACCTAGACAGGGGAATATAGAGTTAAACACGTAGACTCTGAGTCTGAGAGACCCGAGCTTGGCATCTTCACCAGCAAGGACGTGAGGCTTGGACAAGTTATTCAATATTTTTGAGCCTCATTTTTCTAATCCATAAAAAGGGAGGCAACCCACATAATATTCACTTCAGTACAAGGTTATTAAATTAGGAGGTTTACTAGTATGCAGAGAGTTGGATACATAGTGAGCCAATCGATAAATGGGATTGCTGTTATTCTACCTTTTCATGCGAAGGTCCAGTGATTACACGGTCCCAGATCATGAAATTTCCAAACAAGGCCACTCCAGCCAAACTGCAGATAACTTCATGTGAGGGAAAGGATGGTAATCCCCTAATCAAAGAGTACACGGATAACCTTGACAACACCGAGAGGATTTATTCTGACTGCTGCTTCTCTAGAACTAGAACAGAATAGAACATGACAGAGCGAACACTCAGTCGCTAGGTTTATTAGGTGAAGGAATGTAATGGTGATAGTATAGAGTAAGCAGCACTTGAATTAGGTCTAAAAATGGGTTCGATAGGATCTGGCCTGAAAAAAAAAAAAAAAAAAAGAAGAAAAAAAATGGGTTTTTGCCTGAAAAAAAAAATAAATAAATAAAATGCCAAGACAAAAACCCAGGAATGCTGAGGACTAGAAAATGGATCATTTGTTGGGTGATTATTGTATCAAAATAGGCTCAAAATATGGTGGCTCCTGGATGCCATAGGAAGACGTCAGGATGGTATTTGATAAATAGGAGGGAACAATGGGAGGTTCAGAGCAAAGAAGCAATCTGCTGGGAACCATTCTAGGATGATTCCTGATCAGGGGAAGGAGCAGGAGAACATGGCGGTCAGAGGCAGGGAGAACAGCCGGAGCACACAGGGACCCAGAAGGGAGGAACACACAGAGATTTAGGAGAGAGGAGCACACAGGGGTCTAGGAGGGAGGAGCACACAGGGATCCAGAGAGAAGAAAATATCTTTCTCGAGTTTATGATGTTATGTGAGTCACTCCTTTAAAAATACTAAACATACAATAGTGAAGGAAAGGGATTATTTCTTTTCATTAAAAAAAAAATCACACATTTCTCTAAAGAAAAGCAGAAAGAATTACTTTTTCTATGAAAATAGAAATAATGTACATGATTGAGAAAAATCAGTCCTTTTGATAATCACATTCATTTAGTATTGATTTCAATATATTCAGCATTGACAAGGAACAAAAGATATCTCAATGTCCTTTTAGAGTATAAAGTTTGTTATACAAACAAGAATTTAAAAGACTACTTGGATATAGCCTGATTAATTGTCAAGCATATAGAGAAAAATCTGTGGTAGTCTTTAAGAAAAAGAGAACAAAACCTCAATTTACGGGGGGGGGGGGAGGGGGGGGAAGATGCATTTGGGGCCAGCCACTTTGACTTTTTTGTGTTGCTTTAGTAGCTCCCTGTCTTCAGTGGTGGAACTTTCCAGAATTTTCTTCCATGCACAGGGGACCTGCGTGGGTCACTTTTTCTTCATTAGCACTGTCACTTACGAGGTCACTCTTTGACTCCTGAGAATCTAAAGAGGAAATATGGCTGTCCCCATAACTGTGCGTTTAACAGAAAGTGAATTGTTGGCTAGATTCACTTATAAATATGTAAGTCAGATTTTATAAAGGGGTAGTACCAAGTTTTATGCTTTTTAGGCATATCTCTGATTTTGAAAGCATTTTTTGTATACACTGGCCATGGAGAACTGCCCTCTCCATACTCATGGTTTAGAAGATACAGGCTGTTTCCCCAACGCTGGTCATTGCACAGGACTTGCAGCGTGTGGATCCCATCTAACGGGAGGAGGAAGGCACGATAGGACCCTATGCCTACTCAGGGCTTTGGCAGCAGCAGAACAGAGCGAGGCAGGAAGTTTGCAAGCTGAACACAGAAGACAGTTTGCCTTCAAAGCCATTTGCCTCCTGGAGAGAGAGACCCGGAGGGAAGGTGTTTAGTAAATTACTGCACCGAGCCAACAGACTGAGCTGCTGAATTATGGTCAGACTCAGATGGATCAGATGTGGAGAAGCCTGTATTTGAACTGCTGGCCATTAGCAATGGTGTTTGTTGCTATGGGAACTGGTGCTAAGGAACTATTACGGAGAGATTTGGATGAAAGGGTGTGCCTGTGTGAGGTGGGGGAGAGGACAGGGAAAAAAGCTTGAGTGGACATAAAAATAAGCAAAGCAATCGAGTTGTTGTAAAACAAGGCTCTATCCACATACTGATGGCTGCAAACCATATCTTCCCATAGAATTCACATAAATAAATTCATGCTTTCCAATTAATTTGAGGAAAATTAAGTATTGCCAAGGGACTGTTTATTTCTATGATATTTCGGGCATAGAACCAACGTGTAGGTGCAGCTTTCCTGAGAATTTTAGATATGCTTGACTAGGAAGTCATTACATCACATTTATCTGTTTAGATGTGGGAGACATTAACGGCCTTATGAATATTCATGGCATCTGGTTAATTAAGTTAATTGTTCTGCAGAAGTGCTTGCACTTCCAAGGACAATTTTTTTTCTTTTTCTTTTTCTTTTTGCCTCCTTGGCTTCTGCCTGGAGCTCCCATCAATCATGCTCTACATGGACCCCTACGTCTGTCCTCACTCTTTGCGGGCACATTTTAACCGGTTTGGGGAGGTGGTGGTGAGTGAGCTGAGTTTGCTGGTAACGTTATGAAAAAGTTTTTCAGGTTCATTAAAATGTTTACGGTAAGGTAGACCATTTTTGGTTTTTGTGAGGGTGCTAAAATTACACAGTTATTTATGTGAGCAGCATGTTCTTTCAGCGTGTAGACAACTCTTCAGATGAGTCACATTTTGTTTCAGCACACTGTACTCTATCTTTTGGATTATCAAAAAAAAGATAGAGAAGTCTAAAGTTTTACAATTTTACATCCACTTTCCTCATGAACACCTCTCTCCCCGCTCCCATGGACTTCATTTATTTTTAATTTTTTTAAATCCTCACTTAGGGATATGTTGCTGATTTTAGAGAGAGGAAGGGAGAGGAAGAGGGAGAGAGAGGGAGAGAAACATCGATGTGAGAGAGAAACATTTATCAGTTGCCTCATATACACACCCTGACCAGGGAACCAATATTTAATCTGGGACTGTGCCCTGATCCGGAATTGAACCTGTGACCTTTCAGTAAACAGGAAGATGATACAACCAGCATCTGGCCAGGGCTATTTTTTTAAAATTAAAATATATTTTTCAACTACAGTTCATATTTAATATTATTTTGTATTAGTTTCAGGTGTAAAGCATAGTGGTTAGATAATCATATACTTTACAAAGTATTCCCCCTGATATTTCCAGGACCCCCTGGAACCATGCATAACTACTACAATATGATTTCTTTTTAATGTAGAGCCTACAACACCTTCTTAAGGACTAAGATACAGGTTAATTAGAGTAGAAGATGACAAATAATTTTCTGAAGGTCATGCCTGTCATCACTGCCAAGTGCGATGGAATTAAGGGCAAGTTGCAAAGTTGAAAAGTCTAAGAAGACATAAAAACAGTGATCTCTAGCACTCAAAAAACATTTGTGCTTGGGCATGCTTAGCATACTTCAAACTCATAGGGAATAAACAGGCTTTATTTTCTTGAGTCATGATATGTGTCATTCTCTATTGCACATGACAACTTTACATTAGGCTTTTTAATAGCCTTTCTAGAGGAATGCTTTTATGGCCATTCCTAATTAACCATGGTAATGGAGGGAATGAGTACTGTGATCCATTGATAATCCTAAATATCTCCCTCTAATTATGTGGCCTCCTCTAAAATCTTCACCATAAATCTGACAGGGAAGCAAAATAGACTGATCTTTTTCCTCCCCTCACCTCCCCTCTGCCAGTCCAGACTCATTAGCAATAAGATGGCCAAAGGGCAGGCTGTGAGGGTTAAAAAAGGTCTAGGTATTTGACTCCCGGGTAAAGGTCCACTGAATAACAGGTGGACCTTTCGTTCTGGATCACTTGTTCTCAAGCCTTAGGGTGCATACAAATCAACTAGAGAACTTGCCAAAACAGGGCTACCTCCCTGGGCTCACCTCCATGGGCTTTCCTCCCAGACATTTCCACTTCCATGGGTTATAGGTGGAACCCAGATATTTGCCTTTTTCAGAAGCTCCCAAGAAGTGCCGGTGCTGCTGATCCCTGGGCCGTGCATCCTGGGAGTGCCTCTCTAGGTTAGTGTAGGTCTACATAACCCGAGGGTCTTGTACAATACAGCCTCCGACTTGGTCTGTCTGAAGTGGGGCCTGAGAGTACATCTTATTAAGCACCTGGTGTTGTCATTTGCTGCTGGACCCTGGGCCATATTCTGAGTAACAAGGGTCAGAGCATACCTTGCCTTTTGCTCAAGCAATTGGTGCCAGTTTACCAGCTGGTTAAGGTGGAGTTCTCTTTGCACGGGTATTAGTAGAGGTCTGGAAATCATTAACAATTAGATAGATCCCTAATGATTATTATTTTAATGATGGTCTGTTACTTCAGCTTTTCCCTCTGAGCAGCTCAAGCACACATAGGTTCAAAGTGACGCAAATTGGAGAGATTAACTGGGGACCACACAGGAGTATTCCTGATTCACCAATCCAGGGACAAACCTTTGCCTTGAAAGCCGCAGAACATAGCACATCCATGTTTTCACAGCCCGCAGCTTTTATTCTCATAGTCTTTAATTAAAGAAAAATTGTAGCTTCTTAATTTTAAATGCTTTTGCCTCGTGGGAATGGCAGGGGCTAGCTGGTATTTTCCCCTTCAAAAGCAGACCTTTACCCCAGGATCTCAGAGACATAAATGCCATAGGGGCCTGACTTGAGAGAATTCTTTTCTTCTGTAGGTAAGAAAAAATCATGTGGATTTTAAATGATCTTAATGATTATGACAATCAGAAGTCTATTCTGTCTCAATACAGATTTTCATACCATGGCAAATACCATGGAATTAAATATTTTCTTCATGTAGGATACCGCTTTCAGATGAAGGGGAATCCCTGTTTGGGTGAGAGCTTATCTTGGAGATTTATTAATTGTATTTAAAGCATGCCTTTTGGACTTTGTAGTGATCTTGTGTGCTTTTCTTAGTTGCTGTTGGGACTTTCATTTTTTTTTTTAATGTATTTATGCATTTGTCTCTGCTCTCCAGAAACACCCTTTTGCTGTTGGTGCTCCTTTTGGTGTTGAAGTTAGAAGCCCATTTATTAAAGCTGGATGGAGTAGACTTTGATATAGCTAGTAGTTTGGGTAGAAAGTAGACATTCATAATGGAAAAGGCTATAAGTAAGGAGATGCTATAAACTATTTTTTAATCTTTAAGTTGTTTGAAGATTAAAGAATTATTCATTTGATGTGCATCTGAGCTGAGAATGGCAACAAATTTCCATTAATTTGTCATCTGAATATTCCATAATGACATCTGTACAAAGAGCAAATGGTTGCTTTGTGACCTAGGCTACACTGACTGTACATGTTTTAAAATTGACTTGGCAGGCTCTACCAACGTGCTGGCACATTCTCTCCATGGAATCTCTCACGTGGTAACCGCAACTTTGCACATTATAATGGGTAAGAATTGTTTCAAAGGAGTGATTTTACAAGCAAGTTTCTATATTACTCTAAGGGAGGCTGCTTTATCCCTGTCAGGCTTGCCTTAGGAAAAGACAGGGTCTTTATCTCTTATAGCAAAAAAAGGTTGAATTAAAACCCAAAGGTCAATTAGGCAACACTTCTCTCCATGGAATCTCTGTCTTTTCAGAATACAGATGCTATAAAGAGCAGTAAGTAAAGTTTGCTATAATATATTGATAGAAAAATATATATTTTCATATGTTTTAAGATCATGATTTTGTAACCAGGTCAAGAAAATCCATGCACACTATTCCAGTATATCAGATATTGTTGTTGGACTGTGCCAAGTCTCTAGGGCTAGCACTATGTTATTAAAAGAAAGAAGAAAAATGATAACGCTTTTCAATCACTGTACATCCACTCGACCTTTTATTATCCCAATTGATGGAAAACATAAACACTGGGATAAGTGCAATGTAGAACTGCTCCTAAATCTGTTTACTTTTCACGCAAGTTACAACATCACATCCTAGCCACGCTTTATATGAAATAGCTATAAGCTGCAAAATCTGCTGCTTTGTTTCTTTCCTAGAACCTGAAAAAATTATCAATGGCAATTCCAGTAGTTGTAGGTAAAGATGGAGAGAAAGAAAGGTATTTACTATGGTATAAAGTAGCTTAAGATGTAAAAGTAAATAAATGTGCTCTTCTGTGCTTGCCATTTTGACAACTGGTGCTCTTGCACAGTTGACTAACATTTAATATAATATTCAAGGGCACATACAACCCGTCGATGTCTGCACCTTCAGCACCACTGGCAAGCTTCTTCGCTTTGGGTTCTCGGCCATGTTTGGCTTTGGTGGAAGGACTTTGGCTCTGGCAGAAAAACATCGATGGATGTCCCCTACCCAACGGAGGGATTTTGCTGTAATTAAGGCACTGGCAAAACTTAAGTAAGTCCCCCCTCCCCCCCCCAAACCAAGAATCTTGTATCTCAGAATCAGTGAGTGTTAATAACATATTTTGTTGTATTTTAGGCCAGAGGACTGTGAAATATCATTTTTGCCATTTAACAGCTCTCCAGATTTACAAGAAAAGTAAGTAGAAAGCTCAAAGCAACATCTATATCTGTATCTTATTTTTAAAGGATATAATAGTTTGATATAAACAGTTTGCTCAATTGTGACCTTTGGTTGCTTTTCTAGCGTACTAGTGAATAATATAGAATCATGGAGTCCTACAGATTCTGGTAGGCCATGTAGTTTGGTTTCTGCCTCCAGATACAACCATTAATTCATTCCATCCTTCCATCCACCCATCAGTTGTTTATTGAGTGCCTACTATATTTGAAGCACTTTGGATACATGAGCCAAAAAAAAAAAAAGAATAGACAAACAGAACCCATAGTTTCTGTCCTCATGAGAGTTTGGTGGGTGTGGAGTACAAATATTAATCAAAGTCACACAAAGGAAGTGCTGTAGTCTTTTAAAAAAATGAAAATCATTTTTTACTGGTGATGCTACCTAGAAATGAATCAATGCAATATAATTTAGTAATGGAATTATTCACATATTTTTACTTACTGTCTAATATAAGAAAGCATTTACTATATATAACATAGGAGCCTATAACTTTCTCATATTTAATATGTCATTTTTTGTCTTTATTTTTCCCCTTTGGCTTCTTATTTTTTAGAAGGGCACAGGGATCTCCCAAACCTGGTGAGTCTAAAAGCACCTCCTTGAGAACTGACCCAGGTTCTAGTGCCATCTTGCTGTGGTGAGGGAAGGTAACTGTCTTTTTCATATCTTTAGACTGTAATGCTCGGTGGCAAATGATCCAGGGTCAGTTCTTGAATGTCAGCATTATGGCAATTCCTTGCCTGTGTTCAGTGGCACCTAGAGGCTTGGCACCTGATACCAGGTAAGTAAGTGTTTTTATTGAACCATTGATACTTTCCTATAATCCAAAATTTTCTTGCAGAATAATACCTACCCCCTCCTTGCCGCAACTCTTGGCTACCCAGAATATTATGACGAGGTATTCTGTCCTTGACTGTATAATATCAGAGATTTTCAGGAATTTGTCATCAGAATAAGTTCAGAACAGCTGTTATTTAGGTTTATCTACCAAGTTGTTGAGAATATTGTATTTCTGGTTTCCAATTTTAGTGCATACAAAATACCTGTAGCATGAAAAGCATCTATTTGTGTATATCTGATACCTTTAATCAAAAGAAACATTTTTATTATACTTAATGTGAATAGTGGTACATATGAATAAAAGTCTATTACCCACATTTTCTATAAAATGAGACATTTTCTATATTGTCTCATAGATATAGCTATTTATTCATAAGATATAGATATTTCATCTCTTACACATTCTTTTCAGTAGTTGTCCATTATTAGTACGAAAATTTCTCTCCCTTTTCTGTAGAGCATAGAAGAAAAGATCATGGATGTTATATAATGTAGTCAAATCTAGATTTTCCCTGGAGGTGGAATAAAAGAATGACTAATGTACTTTGGCAATCTATAACATTATTGTAATGATTAGTTTCAACTTCCCTGCAAAATATTTAACTAGAATGATTATGAGTAAAAATTAAGCACATTAAAAAAAATACTGTTTCAGTGTTGTTTATTTTTGGTTGGGAAGAGATGGCATGACAAGTCAAAGAAGCACTGAGCCTTGAGAAATAAGAGCTCTGGTTCTGTGATCATTGTGTGTGTGTGTGTGTGTGTGTGTGTACCTCTGATCAAATCACTTAAGCTTGGGGTCTTTTCCTTTTATGTAAACTGAGTGAATGATGGGTAATCTCCAGTGTCCCATATAGCTCTTACCTGAGCTTCCATAAGATTTAAAGAGCTCCTTTTTTTCTTTTTTCTTTTTTTGTTATTCTTGGAATAACTTTGTATTTCCACTGGAATTGAGCCAGAAGTCATTCACATGCATTTCTGCAAATGACCTTCTAAAGCTACAAACATTTGCGAGTGGCTTTTTTGGCACTGAATCACACCTGTTAAATTTACAGTCTCTTTTATATCGAACCAAACAGCTAGGCAAGATTAAAATGCTCGGTCATTTAACTGAACATGTGTGGTAGCATTTCATGTCATCCACCCAAGGGCCAGTTTGATTTAGTTTCCTGTGTCACTTAGACCTGCCCATAAAGAAATATTTAAATCAACGTCAGATTTTAGAAAGTGTTGAGCTGTTTGTTATACCACTGGTACATATTAACTATTTTACAATACATCTTTAACAAGCATGTGGTTTCACATGTAGAATCCTTAAGTGAATACAAGTGATTTTAAATTGCATCTTGATATATGGATAGGGTGCGTGATGGTTCATTTTATAAAAAGCCCTTGCTGAGAAGACAATTGTTTAATAAAAGCATTTTGAAAAACCAAAGTGCTTGCTGAAAAGGAAGGCAATTGTTTAATAAAAGCATTTTGAAATGCTGTGTGTCATTTAAAAATAACGGCAAAATATGATCTAAGAATTTTAAATAAATTTAATGTGATAATGATTTATCTCTCTTGCCTAAAACTTCTAGTAAATGTTGTATGTTTTAGAAAGATTGATATAGAGTCAATTTTGATGTAATCTCTTAATAAACTTAATGTCAAATACAAATATTTAATTTCAGATTAAATAATGGAAGTATGGCTCTTATAATTGCACGGAACACCTCTCGACAGGAATTTATAAAACACCTGAAAAGATATGCCAGTGTTAAAAATCAGGTATGGGAAATTCTTTTTGTTACTTATATGCAAAGCTATTAAACATGGACAGTGATACGTTGCAAGAGTTGACATCAAGTCTTGCCTCATAAGAAGGCTTTATTTTCTTCCAAATACATTAACTTTTTTGTCAACCTGTACTTCCTTCAAATTTTGAAAAGCATCCACTAGTACTACAATATAGATTGGCCTTGTTTTGAGCTATGGCTTGGTGGTTATATATTTGTGTCTTCTTGGTTTGTTTGGGTTTCTGTGCAAAAATAGGACATTTAGTGTTATATTGAAATTAAGGTTAAAATTACCTACTAGGGATGCTCTTCAGAATGAGAAGTAGTGAACCATCTTTAGGTTGAACTGAATGTTCATATATATTAACAATGGTAGCGCACATTGGAAACCATCATTTGCAGGGTGATCCTCTTACTTCCCCATCTCTGTGTACAGTCCACGGAAGGCAAAAATTTCATTTCAGGTTCTTTTGACTCCATCCTATATCTGGACAGTTCCCACTGTTCATAAATTTCTGCATTCACATTTACCATCATTTTTGGGAGGGACTTTAAAACCCTTAAATGCTAGTGTTTCCCCAGGGATTTGTTGGTAGCCTCCTTGTCTTCTCAGAAAACCTCCTCCTGGGTGATCACATGGCCCCCGTTTTGAACTGAGTGTGGCCCACTGTCTTCTCTTCTGACCTGCAGGACCACTGTGGCTTTCTCTGTGCTGCAGTTACAGAACTCTCAGGTCTCCCTTGTCCATAGCTGGCCTTACTGTCTTTTCCCCTAAAGGGCACCTTCCATGGTTCCTGACACAGGTCAATGGCATCCCTCCACCCGCCCTGGAGTTACTCTGACTCCTCTGTCTTCATCATTCCTCACAGCCCACCCACCACGCAGGTCTGTTTGTTCCCCTCTGAAATGTTTCTGAAATTTCTCCTTCTCCTCACTTCAAAACTCATTCCTTCTTGCTTCTAATAGCCTTCTTTCTGGTCTTCCTTTTCCCTGCTCTTGTCTTCCAAACCTCCTTCTAATGGGCTTTTCCTAAAACACACATCTGATTTCTCTTCTGCTTAATTCTACAATGCCTTTCTCATCGTCATCAGGCTGACATCTAATGTCCACAGCATGTGCATGGCCCTCTGTGTTCTGGCCCCTGCCCACTGAAGCCTCACCTTTTTACCATCCTCTACCAGAATTCCTGTTTCTGTCCTCGTATCAGTTTGCTAGAGCTGTCATACCAATATTACAGACTGCGAGGCTTAAACCCAGAAACTCATTTCTTCACAGTTCTGAATGGGAGGAGCTCAGGAGGTGGGGTTTCTCCCGAGGCCCCTCTTGGCACACAGAGGGCTGCCTTCTGGCTGGGTCCGCAATGCTTTTTCCTCTGTGTGCACATCCCTGGCATCTCTCTGCATCCCAGTTTCCTCTTCCAAGGACACCAGTCCCAGTGGATTAGTGCCCACCTCAAGCACCCCATCTTTAACTAATTACACCTGCAGAGCCCCTATTTCCAGAGAAGATGACATTCACAGGAAGTAGGAGTTAGGACTTCCAGATACCTTTCTGAGGGACACAGTTTAGCCTATAATAGCCAGTTAGGAATGACTCATTTCAAGCTCATTTTTACAATGAATGACTATGTAGACAATGAGTGATTAAGGAGAGATATTTACAAGTGCACAGTATGAGGGATGTCTGTAAGGCTCTAGCCTGGGATGGGAAACCTGATGCAGGGGCGTAAGCATTTTCAGAGAACTGCTTGGGGTCCTCTAATCAGAACAGCCTTTGCCACCATATAACCCCAGCATAGTCCATTGAAATCCAGTGTGTGATACAGTATAAACTGGAAAATCTACTGGGCTGTGTTTTCTACTATGTAAAATAAAGATGTTTGGAAAAATTTCAGTTTTCTGTCAGCTTCTAAATTTCTGTGCTTTATTAAGATTTATAGGTGGATGGAGGAAGATAGAACATGTAGATAATATGAAGAAACCTCATGTCATTTATCTGGAAACTAAAATAAATGAGTACTCTGCATTTCTGCTAGAGTATGTAGGTTATTTTTTCACTAGTTTCTGTAAATAAGAAAAAATTGAAATTTGAAGTTTACACTATTCTAAACACAATTATCTTGCAACTTGTGGCCACCTTGAAAGAGGGGATGAAGCAGGCAAACACCTGTGAAACATTAGATTGAATTTTTTTTTTTTTTGCCTTCATAAGTTTAAGCCTAGGTTCTTCTGAATTAAATTCCAAGAGTAAAGCTTACACTAGACTTTGCTTTATATCAGCTAAACTAGTTGACAAGTTACTAATCAAGTCAGTGGATTATATAAATCTTCTGTATCAATAGACCAGTACTAAAGATTGTCTTTAATTGGAAATTCTACAATATCATTACTGTATACAATTTCATAGAGATTTACTGTTTTGTCGTAAAACAAGCTTGGCCAACTGCTAGATCTAAATGAGGTAGGAAAGCTTTAGAAGGGTTCCTTCTTCCAGAGAAACTGGGAAACCCTGGCTATAATTAGTTTCAAAGCATGCATGTTGATCTTTGCTTGCAAGAGAGAGCAGAAATTTCTTAATGTGCACTAGCAGTTAGGGAGAAAGGAAACACCCTGATTATATGCATTTTTTAAATTGTTGACAGTATTACAGATGTCTCCCGTTTTCTCTTTTTTGCCCCATCTCAGACCTTCACCATGCTATTGTCTGTGTCCATTGGTATGCATAGATGTTCTTTGGTTAATTTCTTCCTGTCCCCTCCCACTATCTCTGTGATTCTATTCCATGCACCCATACTTCTGGACCTATTTTGTCAGTTTATTTTGTTCATTATATTCTATATGTGAGTGAGATCATGTGACATTTGTCTTTCTCTAACTGGCTTAGTTTGCTTAGCATACTACTCTCCAGGTCCATCCATGCTGTTGCAAAGGGTAAGAGCTTCTTTTTTCATAGTCACATAGTATTCCATTGTGTAAATGTACCACAGCTTTTAAAAAAACTTTATTGTTGAAAAAATCTTTATTGTACATTTATGTATGTACATTTATATTTGTCCCCTTTCTCCCCATTGACCCTTCCCTCCCCCCTTATCCCCCCACTCCATTGTCCACGTCCTGGGTTATGCATATATGCATACAAGTTCCTTGGTTGATCTCATCCTACCCATTCACCCCTCCCTTCTCTCTGAGATTCCACAGTCTGTTCTATGCTTCTATGTCTCTGGATCTATTTTATCAGTTTATGTTGCTCATTAGATTCCATATATGAAATCATGTGATACTTTTTCTCTTGACTGGCTTATTTCGCTTAGCATAATACTCTCAAGGTCCCTCCATGTTATCTCAAAGGGAAAGTGATTCTTTTTTATTGCAGCAGAGTATTCCATGGTGTAAATGTACCACAGCTTTTTAATATATTCATCTACTGATGGGTATTTCAGGATTCTCAGAATATATTCCCAGAAGTGAGGTTGCTGGATCAAATGGCAGATCCATTTTTAATTTTTTGAGGAACCTCCATACTGTTTTCCATAATGGCTCTACCAGTCCGCATTCCAGTCAGCAGTGTACGAAGGTTCCCTTTTCACCATATCTTTGCCAGCACTTGATGTTTGTTGATGATTGCCACTGGCGGGTGTGAGGTGGTACCCCATTGTCATTTTGATTTGCATCTTTCTGATTAGTGATGTTGGAACATTTTTTCATGTCTACTGGCCATCTGTCATCTTTGGAGAAATGTCTATTGAGGTCCATTTGTTTTATTTAGTTCAATTTTCCATTCGTTGATACTTACACTGGAGAAATGTCTATTGAGGTCCATTTGTTTTATTTAGTTCAATTTTCCATTCGTTGAGACTTACACTGTTGAAGAAGTAAAAGTTTATCCAAGGAATAAAACCAGTGCATACAGTCTAGAGGAGGAGGATCAACCACATGAAACTGCCTCAGAAAACAGTTTCCCCTGGAATGTAGATGGTGACTTAATGGAAGTTACATCAGAGGTCCACGTTAAGTAAGTCTAACGATTTCACTGCCTTCTATGTCCACCAGTAGACATAAAACTGCTAGTATAATGGAAGCCTTCTTTCTTTAACTATCAAAGCAAGCAATTGGCTAGATTTTTTTAATTAGAAAATCAGGGAAGGATAAACAGATAAATGTATAATTTTAATAACGTATGACTTTACACTTATTCATCAATTGTTTTGGAGAGTTAACACATTTTCTTTGGTTATAAGTCTACACTATGCAGACAATGCATGTCTACAATTTACATTTTGAATTTGAAAAGAGTCAAAAGTTTAAGCTTTGGTGACACTGAGTAGCAGACTACAATTTAATCTGTATTTGGCAGTTCCATGTAATTTACGTAGCATTTAATTAGGTAACAAGAGCAACTGATGAGCTCTCTATCTGTACAATTGCCTGCATTTTACAAAAACAATGGAGAATATTAGTCAAGGCTTTATACTAATTGAGTGCTGATTTATTACACATCCTGCCCCAGTTTCTCTAGATTTCATCTCTGCCATGAATGTGTATGTTTTTGTTGGCTGTCATTAGACTTGCACTTGGTATTAAGCACTGTACACAATTGGTATATGTGTGAAAAATAACAGAATGATAGGTTGATAAAATAATCAATTATACATATTATTTTATTCTTTGCAGATTACACCCAAGACTTATCAATCTTTATGGTGAAAGCATGGAAGAAATGAATGATTCCAAAGTAACATGTAATTGTTTATAACAAACATATGAACTAACATTTTAATATGAATGGACATATTTTAAACAGATATCCCAACAGAAAAAAATATTTTTTAAAGAAATTAAAATGGCTACTTTTGACATTGCTAAAAATTAGTACTGAGGGTTTGAATATACCAAAAATTATTTAAATTCTGATTTTTTGAATGTCTTTATTTCACTTTGGAATTATCCAGGTTAAAAAGTAGATATAATTTACATTCTTTCATTTTTCAGGATTTGAGTCCATCAATTCTGATGTTAAATATCCTGTAGTCTGGTATGAATAGACCACAAAGTTCATGTAAGAATGCCCTGATTTTCCTAATGAGGTACCTGTCCAATGAGCTTAAATTTCAAAATTATACAACTCAGTCTAACCAGAAATAGTACTAATATTATAACAACTTCCCCAAAAGGACTCCCTCCTATGTTTAAGTTGTTATGGTACCAATTTTGTGAATATTCTCTGAAAGTTGAAAACTCACATTGATTTTTTTACTTCAAAGTGGTAGGGTTTTAAAATTCATAGTTTATTAAATTTTATTTTAAACTATGCAAAATGTCTTAACTGGGCAGAATCCGGCCCATTAGGGTACTGTGTTCTCCTCTTGCTCCTGAGAGTCATGTGTACTGGCCATTATAACATTGTTTTCAATAGCACCTGAAATGCTGTCATTTCTGAATAGGAAAAGAACCAAATTTAGGAAAAGAACCAAATTTAAATTTCCTCAGAGATCATCCTTGAGAACAAAATTCTAAATTTGAGCTTCATTTTTCATCAGTGATTCTAGGCATTCTCCTGAATAGTTTCTATTAAAAAAAGTATAATTTTAATATTATTAATGTAATTAGGTGGTATTGGCTCACAGGTTTCATGTTCATGAATTTCTGTGCATTTTACACTTTCCATCTATCACAGACTGTAGGCTTGTGATGGATAACTTACACAGCAATTAGGTAGTCTGAGGAAGATGTCTTTTGGCAGGGACTTCCTATAAATATTTCCTATGGAATATTTTCCATAATAGTAGAGACTGACCTCTAATTTATCTATTTGATCACATCTTGTAATAGATTTTCAAAATTTGGCCACAGTCTTCTTTTATATATAAAGACAGATTTAGCCTAGTACAGATGAAATTATATTCTAAGATCAGCATCTAGTTCATATGTATGAATAAATAATAGAAAAAGATTATCTTTAAATGTCTTAAAATTTGAAAATATAAATTATATAATTATAAAAAGGATTCTAAAATAACCCATAAAAATTTAAAATGTTTCACTGATCACTAAAACATACCTTGGGAATTTCGATGTTATATTAACTGGATATAAGCTAAATCTATTTAAAAATTATAAATTATGTTTCCCCAATTCCATGCAGAAGAGACTAATCTTATAAGCATTTAACACTTACATATGAAAAGAGTAATATCCAGTTACTATTTACAGAGTATCAGTATATTTCTCCTTAATCACTGTTTTTACAGAGCTTTGATATAAAAAAAAGTATTTGTGAGGTACAGTCTTCATATTTTACATATACCAGTTAAAGTGCAACATTCACAATCTGTTTCAGAATATAACTTAGAATTTTAAGTACTGTTGTTTTGTAAATAAAAAAAATGACAAATGATAGATTTTTAAAATTTACTCTGGGGTATCCTTGAAAAAATTGTTACAGGAGAGACTTGTGGATTTATACCTATGTGAACATATATGTATATTTCAAAGTTATGTATATACAGAAAGAAGAAATTCATAGTTGTATAAACAACAATTACCCAGAAGTCATCCCATTAAGTTCAAACCAGTGTATTAAAGTTCAGTCTGAAGTTTGCTCTTCAGGTCCATTAATCATAGACTGTGAGTGGTGGTTGATCAAAGTCCATAGGAAATGTTGTAAAAGGGCTTAAATGTAAAATGCTTTGTTTAAAAATATTCAGCAGAATTTTTTCAAAAAGAGCTGTTTCATTCATTAGGAAACAGGTCTTTGAAAATTCCTGCTTTAAAGAACATAATTCAAACAAGTCTCAAAGATTAGGAATTTATTTTGCTGAAGCAAGCACATATCTTGACTTCTTCAATCAAGTTTGTAATTTAATTCAGATGCACTTTTATTTCTGAATATCTTCAAGGGATTATCTTTAATGTAATGTGTTAGTGTTTTCTATCCACTTAACTGAAACAAAACCTTTTTCATTTGCCTTAAGACATAATATGTCACAAGGTTATGAGTAAAAAGTACATAAAAGAACTCTAAGCAAAGTTCATGGCTTCTTGTAAACAATGTCTTAAATTCTTTATTATATACCTGAGTCTTGGTTTTCTCAATTTAAAAGAAGTCTTTAATCAGCATCATCATTGCTTTTACTGTTAATGTAATTCCAACTGTCTCTTCTGTTTTCTTCTTGTAGGATGGATTTGTACTGTCTTTTAAAGAAGCCAGCCTGAAAAAATATCATTGTATAATCACTAGTGCGCAATTATTATACTCAAATATCTAGACAATCAATGGCAACTTAACATTGGTGATATTTTTCTATGATTTTAAGTAAAACAATGTATAACAAAATCAAATTTTTCATAGGTTAATTGACAATTGACACCATTTGAGGACCTGCTATGCTATAGTTCATATGCCATGGAGTCAGTAAAAATTAGTTTGGAAAATATGGGATTAAAGAGCAATTACTGCAGGACTTACTAAAGCATGTGTGAAATCTCTAAAATTGACATTCAACATAATGTGCGGTGTTTTTCAAATGTTTCTTTGAAAATGAGTTTGATATGGAAGTTAGAAGAAATATGGTGAAATCAGTACTGTACAGTCACTTGGGAGGCACAAATTGGCTTTAAGAAAGTCAAGGGTGGCGTTTTGAGAGAGTTAACATTGGTAATTATTAAAGAAAGGCTTACCTTCCACATAACATATGAAATCAACAAAAGTAAAATAAGTCCAAGTATCAAGCTACTTGAAATAATCGCTAAGGTCAAATAACGTGTGGGCCTTTGATGATGTAGTCCTTCAAGCCAAACCTACATTTTAACCAAAACAAAGAACCACCAGTTTAAAAGTTTGCTCCTATTTCCTTTGCAGCTCCCTCCTCCATCCCCAATAGTATTTAGAACTACCCATCCCATTCTCTTGCTGGTTCGAATATAACCACAGGAAATGCTGGTAACTGATCAGAAACAGTAAGTATAATGGATTTTTTTTCTGTAGTTCTTCCTCCAACCCATCCTAAACTCCTTAAAAAGCTCACTCCCTCTTTCCAGGTGTGGAAAATACCAACTCTCAGGAAAGTATTTCAAGCCCTCCATGATCTATTATAGTATAAAATTATTTTCCTGACTAACCACCCTAGCAATACTATTTTTCCTACAGTCTTAATATTTCAGTTAGCTTACGTGTGCAACACTGGCATCCTTGTTTAGTTCAATAATTTTTGGATTTGGCTCTGGAAAAGCTGTCGCTCTTATTTCAAACTTGAGTGCTGAAGTCTCATCCTGTTTAATAAATGAAAGATCTCTATTGATTCATAGTTTTATTTCATGAAGACATTAACAATGACTAATTTCTCATGATCCTTACCTACTATCTAGAAGTTTTCATAATTAATCTTCCCCAATTTACCTCACCATTTGTAATTAATTGCAAAGCTTACTTTGATTCTCAAGGCATGGTCTTGGTATTAATTTATATGGCACCATTTTGTTGAAATTCTTTTATTAAACATAGCCATGGCATGCAGATAACTTGATTTAAATATTATGTGTTAGTTTGTCGTGTATTTCCCCCTGAATATTGAATTTTTAACTACAAAATAAGACTTTCTTCATTTGATAAACTTTTCCTAAAATTTATTTCTTTCTAAGTTGTGTTGTCATCTGGATGCTCTGACCAAATACACACAGTCTACCTAATACTGTAATGGAAAAATCTGGTACAAATAAGTTATAGCATTCAGATATCAAATCAGTAGGTTGATGAACTCAGAGCTTTACTATTTAATGCAGAGACTTATAAGCAAGAATCTCCAGACACTAAGGACTTTTGAAATTGTATGCACAATTGAGGTGTTTTAAGCATTCATTGGGAAAGATGAGAATATATTCTTGAAGGTCTTAAAAGATTTTTGGTATTGTGTTTTAAAGACAATTTTACTTCTTAGCTTTATTAAATATTAGATTTTAAGCATAATTTAAAATAGTTTGGAAAGGACTTTAAGGTTATACAAAATGTCAAGGTAGTCAATTTCTTTGATTTAATCAAGGTCTATCAACAGTTGAACATACTTCCTAAAGAAAACATCTTAATTCTTAATTATCTATTTAATTACTCAAAACCATGTCATTTAAACAATGTATTCAGCTAAAGTAAGAGGGGAGAGATCAACCAAAGGACTTCTATGCATGCATATAAGCATAACCAATGGACACAGACACCAGGGGGACCATGACAGGGTAAGAACACATATTTATAATAATACCTTCATCAATAAAGAAAAATAATAGAAACAGATAAGATTTTTTTTGTACCAATACCTTCTTAATTTGTTGAATGCTTCCCTACATGCCATCCCACTTAGGTATAGTTTGCAGGTTCTGAATAGACTTACCATTTCTAAGATGGATGGCCGGCCTTCCAGCTGAATGTGAACACTGGCTTCTTTCCCACTTTCCATTTTCCCAAAATTGCATAAGAAATTCAAACAATGTGGGTCAGCTTTTGTGCAGAACTTGAGAGAATACCAAAAAAAGCTACATTAACATTTCAACTTTTTTTTTTTTTTTTAGAAGATGACTAAAATAATTTCCAAGGAATTAAAGATCTGTTTTTGTTAGTGGCATTTTAAAAATCTTACTTTAAACAATTTAAACAAGTGTTTGTTTTATAAAATAAAGTATTTGAACTGGAGCATGTGTTCTTATGAACCTAACCGTCTGGGATAGATGTTGAAAAGAAAAATTCCTAATCAGAATTTTGCCAAGTTGGATGTTCTCTGTTTATTGTAAAAATTGAATAATTGGAATGCTAAGATTGCTGCTTCTTTTTTTTTTTCTTCATAAATTCACTAAACTGAAAAGAGGCCAAGTTCTTCTGAGTAGAACTTTGTGAAATGTGATTAAGAGGGCATGGAGAAATGCCTGGCTAGCACAGAATGGGCATTTGTCAGACAAATAATTAAAATGTCTATAGTTTACCCTGGGTCTATTGCAAATGTCCAACCATGTCTGTTCCTCACAGGCAAGAATATTCTTTGTTTCTATTCAAACCCAACTGAAGGTCAAACCCATTGATTTTAAGCATTTCAGTTCTGTATGTGGGAAAACAAGAACAATGAAAAACGGAAACTTACCAATAACCTCTTATCAGTCCTCGAAAAGAATTTATATATGTCTCTTAGGGCCTCCATCGCATCTCTTTTCTTTACTGACGTGCACATTCTTTGATAATTTTTAAAATGGCATTCTCCTGAACTAGTCTATAAAGATAGGAAGCAAGAAATGTGTTACGATTCAATATTGGAAAGAACAAAAGCTACATAATTTTAAAAGTTCCAATAAAATGAAGTTCCAATTGCTTGATTACCTTTTCTAAAAATATCAAGTACTTCTGAAAAGTGTGAAAATATTTTTTGACAGATTTATTTGGGAGAGATTAAATCTCTGCAGTAAAAATACCAACTCAGAAAAATTTTAGAGGGTTGGATAGAGGTCCTAAACTAATCAAATAGCCTTAACCTTACAGAAATTAGGGCGATTTGAAAAATAGCATGAAATTCAACATTTCTCGGGCTTTAGATACCATGTCCTACCATCTAAATTTGGAATTCAAGTAAGTTTTTTTTTATAAATTATATCTCAAACCCAGTTGGTAGGCTTACTGATTGCTTGTCTTAAAACTGGGAGAGTAAAAGCAATTCCGATGGAATCAACAGTATAAGAATGCTGACTCTTAAACAGTGATTTGAGCATTCTTTCTTTAAAAAAGGCTGAAATACTAATTTTGTTCCCCAACAGTGGTCTAAAGTTTTATGGCAAATTCTATGAACCAAATTACTTCCACAGGTCCATATCACAAGGAAAATGTACTGAAATAGTAGAGCATAATTGTTATTGTGTACGTCAAATGCAGAGGTTCTAATGCAATGTATAATATTCAAGGTGTTCTCAATGAATGCAGGGTGAATTTACAGCTGAGAGTGTAAGTGAGATTGAAGTTAACAGACATTTCAATTTCAGCAGTATTACTTACAATAAAGGAAGGAACAGATTTTTACCTGGACATCCAAAATGTTGAACAGCTTATCAGTTTGGGGGATAAAAGAATTTGGGACCATTATTTCCACACTAACATTTGGAGCCATGCTAGGGCCACTGTTGATAACCTGATAAGGAAAAAAAATTAAACTTTTAAATGTTTTCATAAATGTAAGTACAGATATTAAATGAGCTCTTAGGTGAGCCCATCTGTATGAAACACTTCTAATTGGCAGCTACACCACAAAGGGAGACAGAATGTTGATAGAACAGAAAAAAATTTTGCTGAAAATTACAACCTTTAGTTTTTACTGCCAGCTCTCTCCTTTTGCTCTTAATTAGGCCATAATGTCCAGGCAGATGTTCAATTTAGTCTAAAGAAAGAGACATCAACAATGTATATGTGTATGGCACATTCTGTATCTAAAATGCCATGACCAATTGGTCCTCATCCCTATCCCATGAGGTGGGAAAACATTTAATTATTTGCCAGCTCAAAAAATGCTAAGAGGTGTTAGTCAACGATGTGCCCAATATAAAAATGACCAGAATTGGGACACAACCCAGGTATTCTAATTTAAATCCTATGATGTTTTCACAAAACCACTCTGTGCAGAGGGGATGTCAGCAGTAAGTGAATAAAATGTATTTTAATTCAGGGTTATTATAGTGCTGATACACTCAGAAAATCACAAAGGGATAGGTTATTCGGTTTTAGAAAAAATTCAATAGGTTTTTAAAGAATAATGCATGACGGAGTGATAGTTCATTATTGCTGATAAATTTGGGGATTGCAGATCTCTGTAAAAGGAAATTGGGCCAAAATTCTACCACCTGAGAGCTTCACTATAAAACCAATACAAAGTCAGAAATGAAATGTACCACAATACCTGAATGAAATAGCATGACTCACAGACTTGCAATCTTTTTTTGAATGCATATGATATAAATGAAGTGTCCTTGGCTTTGGGATATATGGTAATTGCTCAGTCATGCAGGCATGGGGCAGTTTCAAAGGCAGCGTCCAAACCTTTAGACAAGTCTTCCTGATGCCTGCAAATAATCATTCTAACCTACAATACCTTCCATCCTTGTTTGCCGGATAACATTTAGATCTCCAAGAGTGTATTCATCCTTACTCAGACTCACCAAAACTACAGGACTTCAAAATAAAGGGCTACATTTTTTTCACTACTGCTGTATACTAGTATAACAAAAACTTGACTGTATGTACACTTAATAGGACTTCAAAGTCATTCTTCTTCCACAGATCAAAATGCCAGGAGTTTGCATTTTAGACAAGCTCTCCAAGTGATTCTGATGTACATTTTGAAGGGCATTGCCTTACAAACTATCAAAATGTACCAAAATCCAGACTCACACCCCACAGATTGTTACATATAATAGCTCTAAGGATATTTGGGCGGTACTTTTGGTTCAGAAAATTTTTGTGGACATTATTTCCAATTATCTACTAATCATCAACATCCATGATGCACCAAAAACATCAGTTGATAGTAAATAAACATTTTTAAATTGTCTTTATATTAGTATACTAATATTTCTGGATAATGACACTATTCTTCATTGAATAAATGATGCATCTCTTGCTACAGCTAACCTACCTAAGGCCTGAAAGACTGACCAAGCAGACCTTCAACAGAACTGCTGACTTTACTTGGTAATTGCAGGGCTTTTAAATGCTTCAACCAAGACGAGAGTTCACCGATTTGCACCTAAACATGCCTTCCCTTGGCCTATTCTGTTTTTTCCTAGGCACCTCTAGCAGATTCTCCCATAACTTTGCTAGTTTCAAGTGTTACCTCTGTTCCTGCTAGCTCATTCCCACCTGCATGGTAAGGAGATGTGAGCTTGAGTAAGAGGGTCAAGAACAGGGGGAGGAAAGGGCATGGGTACCCATGTGGCAGCTCCTTCCTTGTCCCAACCAAACTGTGCCAGCCCAAGGCTGAGGGACATCACAGGGATACGATGTCCTCTCGAGCAATGCACCAGACACATTCTTTGAGTTCGTTACAAATATCAACACAGCCAACTTTTCTTACATGGAACGTGAAGTTCATTTTCTCTGTCATGCACGTTTCGGGCTCATGGTCCTCCTTTGATCCATACACAAGTGAAGTTGGATTTATAAACCTGATAGAAACAAATCCAAATTTAGTGTGCTCTTCAGTGTTACAGTCTCATTTATTTATGAAGTTGAAGTATATATGGGATGCGTATTAGGTGCCAGGCTGTGCTAGGCGCAAGGAGGCCAATATTCATAAGACACATGGCCCCACCCAAGATTTGTACAGTCTATTTAAACTTGGTTAATGGTCTTTCTTTTGATGAGGTGTTATAAACAGTCTTTCTTTACAGTTTGGATTATAGCTTATCTCTCAAATATGCTCTAATTTAGACAACAGGCACTTAAGCACAATCAAATACTTTTGGTAAGACAGTAATTTTAGTAAAGATGTAATGAAATTAGAAAGTCATGTGCTCTGACTTGGTTGACAGCATCTCTTAACCCTATATGGCTCATTCTACTGATTTATATGAATTGGCAAATATGATAAGTCCTTAGCTTTTCCCTATGACTTCAATATATTCCTCTATTTCAATCAACCTTACCTATTTTTGAGTTATTTCTTTCCATCTCCTAATTCCTGCTTGCTATTTGCAATTCACCCAGCTCTGGGGAACAATTCAAGCACCAATAAGTATATTAAAATTTTTGTTAGAATACAAAGCTGTTCCTCTTTTACCTGTGATTTTACGTATGTATGGTCAGTAGTGAACTTTAAGAAATACTTTCCTAGGGAAATCCTGACTCCACAAGTTGCTTATATTTGGCAGCTGTTATGAGGCAATGCAAATTAGGGACCCATTACCCAGGAAAGAAATGAGAAATATTCAAATGCAGAGTAGGAGGCGTAAGAGAACTTGCTCAAAATAATAAGATGAGGGTAATGAAAAAAAGGGAGGATGCTCATTATAGGAAAATGAAGGAGGGCAGGCAAGACAACATTCAAAACCAAGAAACACGCAACTGCTTCTCTTTGCTTCCCACTGATTTTCTGCGTCCTCCTCTCCCTTGAACGGCTGCCTTTCTTTCCCTGCTTTTTACATCTCACAAACTTGCTACCCTATTTCATCAGTTTCAGACACTGATATGTTTATTTCTGTATAATTCTATGCCATCCTATGCTAAAAATTATTGGAGATGGTTTATATTTAGAGCAACAAGAAAAACTCGCTTGTCCATTTATCTCCAATTGCTTTACAATGCATTTTTAAACAAAGTTTAATAGCTTAAATAATTTCCAATAAAATCATTAAAGGTTTTCATAATACTCCTTTCATGAAGAATACTCAATTCTTCATACCTGTCTTCCTTGCATCAGAGTCAGAACCACATAATCAATTACTAAAATTATGAGGAATCAGTGACTACTGGCTCTGGGGCTGTGGGTGAGGAACTCTGTGATTCAGTTATAAAGACCAGAAAAAGAGCTGCAGATGGTCTCTCCTACACAGGTTCTAGAGAGTGGTCATTTGGTCAGACTTGCCATCCTTGAAACTTCACACTTGCCACAGCCACTGAGTGTGATCAAGCAAACTGTGCACTCCTCATCTCCCAGACATGGCCTGTGCAAGGTGGAGCAGGCTCTTCCAGGAAGAAATCCCCTCCAGCTGGGCAGTGGTGTGATGTGGTCTCAGGGACACTTATATGATGGGGTAAAATAACGAACAGCTGGGCAAGGGTAATTGCGGTAATTGTTAAGAAAGAGAAACAGCATCGGATCTTTAAGAAGTCTTTTAAATGTGGTTTAGACTAATACAGGATGCAGCATTAGTATGCAGCATTGTTTAAAATCATCTCTCCTCTCTAGAGGAGGCCTCAGTGTCTATTATACTTACCCGTGCACCGTGAGCATGACCTCATATCTCAGAGGTACTGCTAACGTCACTTTGTTATGCTTCAGATGGTCCATCTCCCCTTCATTTTTGCTATGAAACAAACAGAAAATGCCCTGTTAGAATGCATCAGCACAAAGACCATCTTCAGCGAGAACTAGTTGTATGCTATGTATGCCTTATAAACTTGGAGGTGAGTTTAAATAGTGCCTTTTGGGGAGTGGGGATAAAAGTGGATGTGATAGTCCTGACCAGTTTGGCTCAATGGATAGAGTGTCAGCCTGCGGACTGAAGGGTCCCAAGTTCAATTCCGGCCAAGGGTGGCATGTACCAAGGGTGGCATGTACCCAGTGGGAGGTGTGCAGGAGGCAGCTGATCGATGTTTCTCTCTCATCGATGTTTCTAACTCTCTCTCCCTCTCCCTCTCTGTAAAATAAATAAAATAAAATATTAAAAATATATTTTAAAAAAGTGGGTGTGTCAGACATTTTTATAATGGGGTTGGCAGCAATTTGCTTTCATAATTCACACTGTTATTTCCTCCTATGCTGGTTAAAGGTTTGTGTCTTAGATCCTGTCAGAGTTTTCTCCTACAGACAATGGGACCCAACTCCATGGTTTCCCTAAGGTCCCCTCCCCAAAGTGTCAGGGGTCTATTTCCCCCCACACCATTATTTCCCACAGTGGACCTACCAGGAGGCAAGCACTGTGATGCTGAGATCCTCTTCCGCTCTGCCCAGGGAGCTCGCATCCAGCAGAAAGCTCACATCTATCTGCAGAGAAGGAAAGCTCATTTAAAAAGCAATCTAACACATGTTTACCAGCTGAACTTTAATTTTTCCTAATAGTTTATACCCTGAGGCATGCCCAGCTCTATAAACTATGTTCTAGAAACACAGGCTACCCCTCATTCAGAGAGCGAGCTACAGGGAAGCTGTTGGGTTTGTGGTGACTTGAAAGCACCAGCAATTCCACAAGTGACATCCAGAGACAAAGCCTCCTCTGGATGTTAAGATGGCAGGTCCCGAAGGACAGAATCAGAGATGCTTTAACAACCAGAGGGGGGAGTCTTCCAGAAACACCTTTCTCTATAGCAGAGGTAACAGCCGATAGGACCACCTGGAGGGGAAGGGGGGGGATTGGGGAGGAGTGACACAAGGGAGCAGAATTCTGATCGACACATTCACATTACCCCTCCTCCCTTTTACAGTGAACAATTCCAAGAACATAAACACAATCTCAAAGGTCTCAAGCCCAGTTGGTTTTGCTTTTATCACTTAGCTATTTCCGCTAAGCAAATAATAAATTATATATTTGTATGCAACATAAAAAAATAGAAACATTTTGTATTAAAAATTATAAATGCTAAATGCTTACCCTTGAGAGATGGTCTACAAATATATAACCAACATTACAGTCAATTTTCACTAGGCCAGAGCTGTCTGTTACGTCACAGTTTATTTGCTTCTCTTCCTAAATAAAACAAAATCAGTTGGTTTAGGTAAAAAAAAAAAGGAACAAGACGTTTATAACCCATGTTTAAGGATGGCTTTTGGAAACACATCCCCAAAGAATTTACTTTCCTGGACAACTATTTTTGGAATAAACAGAAATGTAATCAAGTGATATAATATGTACATGTGTTTCTAGGTTTATTCTAACATCCATGTAAATGCTCCACAGAATAATCCCAGGACTTGAGGCTTTCATCCAGGTTTGTGTATCCCTATTTAATTCAAGGCCCAGTTCGCTGTAAAATCATGAGGCAAGGAACTCATAAGGTCTATGTTCACATCCCTCTTCTGTGGGGATGTGAGAATGTGTGTTTAAGGTATATAACTACAATAACTGGAATCATAATAGTATAAATACACACATATACATATCCCAACATTTCAGGGAGATATACATCTCTGTACGTTTTTGTACAGATATGTATTTCCCTAAATATTTGAGTTTTCCCTCTTACTAGAGCAAACAGGCTCTTAACGCTGCAGAAAAAGGGGGAATAGGTATTTGTGAGAGGTCAAAGGCCTCTCAACATGCCCTTCATGTGAGGAAAAGTCCTCTGGATAAGATCTGAGTAAGATTGCTAAGGAATAGAGAAGCAACAAAGAAGAAGTTGAGGCTTTTGTCTTTGAAATTCAAACGTATACTACCTCACCGGTGGATTTAAGTGCTCACAACTGAGGCACGGAGGTAAGAAAAGATCTCCAGGGGCTTTGAACCCTTTCAGGGAAGGAAAACCTTGCCTAAAACCTGGTCAACACCAGAATTTTGGATTTGTGGCATGTTTAGAGACCCTTTGGGAATCAGACTGGGTGTATGAGCTTCAAATGCAGGGAGGAGGGGTAACTCTGGGAGTCCAGCAGGGAGGGCCATTATTGCTGGTGCAGGAATCCAACCAAGAGCAGCAGCATCAAGCACCAGGAAGATGTATGTATGAGTGAGAAAAGCAATGGCACCCAAGCAGCTTGCTTGGATAACTAGGCAATTGTTTTTTGGAAGTAGGGACGACTTTTTTTTAACCTCAGATTCCAAGGAACTTGCCATGTTGATCAGGGGCGTGAGAAAGTCTTAAAATTACTGGAAGCCAAAGCATGTCTAAATAAATGCCAGATATTTAGACCTCAAATTGATGAAGTGAATCATGCCATTTACATCTTTAAGAAACTAAGCGAAATATCATGTAGTATCATGCTGTTGTGGTTTCCAATACTTACCAGATCTAAAACCTTAATGAGGTAAAGACCAGTGGGTAGTTTGATGTGCAGAGTTGTTTCATATGCATCATCTCCAGCATTAAACAAGGACACATTCAACATTAATGTCTTCATACTTCCAACAGCGAGATAGGTTTTATTTTCGTGCGGCCTAAAAATTAAGTACAATTATTTCATTCTATTTTGGAAATACAAATCCCATCTCTTCACATATTTATCCCAAACATAAAATATTAATTTGAGAAAACAACTGGAGGGAAATGAGCACATGCAAGTAGACACAAATCTATTTTTAAAAGAACTCAGTTTCCCTTAGTTCAAATAAAGTTGGTCATGTGTTACTGGAGAAAAGTTTTTAAATTAGTTATAATTAAACTAGTCTGCTTTCTGTTATACTTTTTTTTTTTTTTGCATTAGTTGGTTTATTTTTTAAATAAATCTTTATTGTTGAAAGTATTACTATGTCTCCCACCTTCCCCCACCCCTCATTGACCTCCTCCAGCCCACCCTGCCCCAAGCCTTCACAGTCCTATTGTCTGTGTCCATGGGTTATACATATATGCGTACAAAGTCTTTGGTTGATAACCTCCCTCCCACTCACCCTCTCCTGTCTTCCCTCTGAGATTCCTCACTCTGTAATACTTTTTTTCTGCTTAACTTCTTTGTTCTATAATTTTAACATATTTTCCTCATTATTTTGCAACATATTTCTAAAAGCAAAGTATATTTTTCTTATCTTTTTTTTTAAATTATTGAATACACATTGAATTAGCTGCTTCCCAAACCAAAGGCGGGGGGAGGGCGTGGATGGGGGTAACTGGAAGAGAAGGAGAACAGAGAGTATTTTCACCAAAATACAACATGTTTTGGTGGAAGTGAGCACGGCGTGAGAAAAGACTGCTATTCACTGCAAGTGAATCCAACTAAGATCTGTAGAGTAGAATCCATTTCATAAGACAGGCTGGTCACCTCTATGGATAACAAGACCAAATCCACAGACTTGCTGAAGAGCTTCACTGTGCTGTGAACTGGAAAGAGAAGATCGTCCCAAATCTAGACACATGAGTGAGAGCAACTTCTGGCTCTGGCCCCCCATTCTTCTGGAAGGGGGTTTGTAATTAACATTTTTAAGCCTCAATCACTTCACCATAATAATAACTACTATTCATTGAAGATTTAGGTCATAGAATCCTCAGAGGAACACATTTATATATGAGGAACTGGAGGCTTAATAAACTTATTCAAGGTCTCTCACAGTTAAAGTTTTAAAGTTTCAAAGCAAATGCAAATCTCTTCGCCTACACAGCCCATTCTCTTTACCAATGAGAGACTGAGAAGAGCTGAATGCTAAAGAAGACTTTTGCTTCACTATGATTTTATAATCTTCCCTTAAAGGCAGATGTTCCTACATATCCAAGAATTTAGAAATAGTAGTTCAACCAGAGAAGGGTGTGACTGAAAGCAAAAGACCGGATGAGAATAATCATAACTACACAAAAGGTAAAACATTCACTTAGCACTTTAAAATTTAGAAAGTTTCCTTAAGTAAGCATCTTCTATACAACATTCATGTGATCTGTACCCTGCAGGCACAACTACTCAACCGACTAAGAAATTAATGGCAGCATCAGTACTAAAGTATAAAGTTTTGAGCAGTTAATTCTTAATTTCCATAAACTTCAGAATGAAAATTGTAATTGGGGGCACATTTCTCCACTTTTATATTTTTAGTATAACTCTAAGAAATTGAAATGTTTACTTAATATCTATTAGTAAAGGTCTTCCCCTCTTGATTTTTTTCCTGTTTTAAACTTATCAAGGTAGAACATACACATAGCAAAATGCATATATTCCAAGTGTGCAGTCCAATGAATTTTTAAAAACTAAATACACACGTGAAACCATCACCATAGAAATCAGCACTTCCTCCAGTTACTTCCCCCACCAATTGCCTTGCTTTTACCAGTACAGACTGGTTTTGCCCCCTTTTAGATTTCATACCAATGAATTCATAAAGTATGTAATTTTTCTACTCAAAATTTAAATAACCAGGCCTTCTTTACTTAAAAATTTGTTTGTAAAATTAATCTACATTGACTTGTGAATTTATTCTCATTGATTTATATATATGAGAATAATTTTTTTAAATTTGATTTATATATATGAGAAATAATTTTTTTTCCATTTTGTAAATATACAACATTTTACTTATCCATTCACATTGTATTTATCCATTCAACTATCTGGCAATTTCTAGTTTGGCTCTATTATGGTCTCTTGGTGAACACATCCATGTAATTTTGTTGGGTCTCTCTACCTAAGAGCAGAACTTTATGGTTTTGTAACCCAGAATTAATTCCTTAAAATGTTCCATCTTGGCTTATTTTAGCAACCAACTTAAATTATACTAACTGTATTTCAATAACCAAAATATACCGTAAGGAACTATATTTGAGTAACCCAAAATAAAGATAGATTACAGAACTCTCCTATAATAAGCAGGCACACTATAGCGTAGAGGTTCAAAAGCTGCTGCCAGAAGGCCAGTTCAGACCTCTGCCTGGTTTTGTAAATAGCTGCTCATGGAGCGCAGCCATGCCCGTTCATCTGTGGCCACTTTTACACGACAGATGCCAGCAGCGTTGGGTAACTGAGAGAGATCTCCATCCCACAAAGCCTAAAACAGCCACTATCGGTCCCTCTACGGAAAAAGTTTGCCAGCTTCTGCCATAGAGCAATCTGATGGATAAGTAGATTTGGTTTCAAAATCAGCATACAAAATAATATCACTGTATTTAAAAAATCTATTCTGTGTTCTTCTGACAATCACAGAGGCTCATTTCAAACAGCCTGGGATACCGCATCAGAGAAAAGGACTCGCGAGGCCTCCCAGCTCCTTGGCTGGTCCTGCAGACGTCAAGGGGAAAGGAGTGAAGACCATGCTCACAGGCAGCCTCTCCAGCTCCGGATCCCTGGCTCTGAGAAGCTGGATGTTTCAGGAAAGAGGTGCAATGACTAGCTTCTCAGGGGGGAACAATGTGACTCAGGGATGGTGTGTTTCGGAGAGCGGCTGTGATTCACCCATTCCTGTGTGGTAAACCGTGTTACATAAGCACGCATCTGCTCGGTGGCGCCGGGGTAGCCTGCGGAGGAGAAAGGCGCAGGAACACGGCCCTCCTGCATCCTTCCCCCCCACTGTTCTCTAATCATGTAGCCACGGAAGGAGCCTAGGAGGTTCTAAAGGTGAACTTCAGCTTGACATTAAAGTTTAATTAAGACTTGAAGAAGAGCTGCCTGGAAACAGACATTTGTAAAATATCCTGGCATGTAACCAAAGCATTAGTCACCGAACACCTTTGGGAGAGGAGCTGGCACTGAGACAAGCTACAGAAGGTGAAAGCAGCGCATAAACAGCCAGGTTCCCAGACAACAGCAAATTAGAGAGAAACACAATGTTCACGTTTTCGGCAGCCAGACTCCTGGTTCGGTTTCCATTTTTAAGCTCTTTTGTCACACAATGGTAATAATGATTCTACTCTTTTTGTTAAAATAGACGTCGCATTGTATCCTGGTTCGTTAACAAGGTGCCGTCGGAGCGATGCCCACCCGCTTTGTGTGGGAGACCTCATCATAAAGGACCAGGTGCACATCTGGCCGTGCGACAGGGCTGCACCAGAGCCCTCCCCGGAAATCAGCGTTCATTTTTCATTAAAACGTGCATAATGCAGGCTTGAAATTTACAAAACAGCCTAGAATCCATGGAATTTGAACAAATCAAGGCACTGTGTACATACAGAATCGCAACTTAATGAGCGAGAGGGGAAAGATAGAAACATGATGTATTTTAGCACCAATGCATTATGCTTTCCCTGAATGAATGGCGTTGCTTTATTTTGCAAGAAATTCTCCCCGAGTCTTAGTTAATGAGCCTAGATAACACAAAGTAGTGCCTTCCTGGCTAACTCTTTTTAAGATGGTAGGAACAAGTATAATGTAAGCTGCTATGTACCTGTGTCAAGATGCATGAATCACTTATTTGACAACACACAGCCTGCTGCAGGTGGCTTGCAGTTCTTCTGCAGGTCCAAGTAAAGGTAACTTTTTTTTTTTTAAATTTTACTACTGACTTCAGGGGGGGAAATACTGGGAAATTCTTGTTTACTGGAATACATCAGTTCCTCAACATTTAAGAAGATTTTACTGAATAAAGGCAAACTCATTGTCTAGAGGAGTACAACAGGCTGCACTGGATTAGAAGATGGAACTAGGGAATAGCATGTTTTCATGTACAAGGCATATAATTCATCTTCCCCCACCTCTGTGAGGCACACAGGGGTGGATCAAAGTAGGCTTACAGTTGTGAGTACATGAAACACTGAGTTGATAAAGTTATTGTAGCAGTCATATCCTGCATGCCATTTTCTATATGAACACCTGTGAGCCTACTTTTGCCCACCCTGTATATTCCTACTATCTCCATTTCAAAAAGGGACACGTTCGTTAGACTAGCTCTTCCAGCGGCTAACAGCATCGTGGCTGATGTTGATAACTGTCTGCTGTCTAGTCAACAGATTGCCCTTTTTAGCTGTTAACAGACCCAGCATTGGGCAGCATTCCCTTGACACTGCAGATGACAAGCACCTAGTTCACCTTCAGGGAATGAATTATGAGCGCACTAATCTGATCACAATGACTCCATTCTCCTCCAGCCACAGTGGGCCCAGGGTGAGTATGTGACACAGGTCTGGCTGATCAGAATAAGTCTGCCCAGGCACTGCCCTTCTTGAGGACACAGACTTTTGCTCCTGTCCCTTTATTTTCTTGCTGGGAACCTTGGTGGCTGCTGCAGCCATCTAGTGACCGTGAGGGAAAAGCCAAGAGAACTGGAAAGATCGCCAGGAATGTTCAGAGTTTGGTAGGTGCTCACTAACCCTGCCACAATAAGGAAATGCCTTTATGTAAAAGCCACCATTGCTCCAGTACTCGGTTCCTTGCAGTTGAAGGCATTCCTAAAGGATGGGAAAGCCTGGGTTTCGCGTGTGTGGGAAGCGTGGCTGAGGAGCAGAAGAGAACTATCATTCACGTCAGAATCTCTAAGCAAGACTTGGTTTCAGACTACCTCTGTGATGGCTAACACCGGCTGTTGTATTTGTAATCTTGACAGTCATATTTGTTCATCTTCATTTTGCAGTCGGTAAGTCCATTTGAACATGATTTATTCTCCCGGGAGTTTAGTCATTCAGGAGAAAGCCTCAACTGAATGAAAACACTAAGCACTGTTTCGTTTGCTGTTGGCAGTCTATTACTGCCGTCTTCAGCCAATCATGCTCTTTGCCGAGTAAGTGCATTTACCTAAAGCGGGTGTGCAGCTCAGGGGCACATAAATAGCATGAGAGCCAGTAGAGTTATAGGAGGAGAATGCATAGAACATACGGTCACTGTTTGCCTAAGATTCCAGGAAGGGAGAGAGGACACCTATGCGAGACAGGCATCTATCTGGCTGATAGAGTATAATTTGCTAAAAATGCAAAGCAGTTTGTCAGAATCTCTGACGGTAGGCCTAAAAAAAAATGGATCAGAAGAGTTTTCATAAGAGAATTACTTAAATAAATTATCATTTCAAGTAGAAACCGCCGGAACTCTAACTGATGCAAATGATGTAGGGCTTATATTTCACATCGGCATTTGTGCCACTTCGAACCTCATAAAACTAAAAAAAAAAAGAAGAAAAAATCTCATGAAACTGAAAACTACTGACCTAGCCACCGTCAGGAGCACTTTGGGGACATAAGAGACAAACGCTGGACACATCACTAGTATAAATACAGAAAATGTTTAGACCTCAATGGCAACATTACATTTTATGGCCACACTATGTCATAATCTACAAATATTCTCACCCTAATTTATCAAAAATAACTTTCATGAAAGCTTCATGCATAGCAGGTTTGTGCTATGCACCTGGGCCGGCATTACTGCGTTATTTACCTGCAAAACACCTTTCACAGAGTAGGGGCTCTTTTACCCCCTTATCAAGGAGGAAAGAGGTTTGTAGAGCCTAAAAGGCTTCTCTGCAGCTGGCAGAGGGTAGACACAGAACTTGAATCAAGTTTGTTTGATTCAAATCTGAAACCACCACTACCTCATTGGTCCTCAGGCCTTAGTATAACAAGAAACCCTTGGGGCCTTTTAATAAACAACATTTCTGGCCTGGCCCCATCGCTTCTCATTGGGACGATCTGAGGGTCTAGGAACCTGCAAGTCCATGAAGCATTCCAGGTGATTCTCGTAAAAGTGACTCAAAGGCCACAACTCGAGAAACACGGCTGTACCCTCTGGTGCTGCCACTGAAAATTATAATGGGCTTATACTTAGATGTTAAGAAATAGTATCATTGTTTTTAAAAATATATATATTTTATTGATTTTGTACAGAGAAGAAGGGAGAGAGATAGTTAGAAACATCGATGAGAGATAGACATCGATCAGCTGCCTCTTGCACACCCCCTACTGGGGATATGCCCGCAACCAAGGTACATGCCCTTGCTGGAATCGAACCTGGGACCTTTCAGTCCCCAAGCCGACGCTCAAGAAATAGTATCATTTCAAATTAATGATGCAAATTAACAATAATTTAATAGCTTACTGTGAAAAAATATGTAATGGATAAAAAAATAATTCAATTATAGGAATATTTGATCTCTTAATTTAAGATGTATTTTCATCATTCAGAAAAGAAGCATTCCTGGTAAATTTTTGTACAAATTTTAATTGGTCAGGGGGATTGCAATGAAAGATGACCAAGGTGACAGTGGGAATTTCTGACTTAAGAAAATAAAACATTACTTATTTGTAGCTGAGATAAGCTTTCCCACACACAGCTCTACTGATCAAAGGCCCATGGCAGCAAACACACCGAGAACACTGATCATTTTAGGAAGAAAATAAATACACGAATGGGAAGGTTATACATTTTTCAACTAATATAATACATCAACAAAGGCACCCCACTACATGCTGGGATGCAAAGTAGTTAGTAGCCGCTGTTTTTGGACTTGCTGAACAGCCAATCTGGATAATTTAAGTATAAAGTCCAATTATTAATCAAATAGGTTAGGGCTTCTTGGCCCTCAATTGTGGATGCTCAAGGCTATACTGGCATTGCTTAAGTGAAAAGAATTAATTTATTCTCTGCCATATGTGTTCCTACCCAGCAGGGTACTCAACACTGTTTGTCAACCTTTTCACTCATTCCTAGTTGACTTCCTATCCCGTTTATCCTAACACTATTTTGAGCCTTTCCCCATGCCTTTCATGTTCCCAGATCTATCTTAAAGACCTCCATTTTCCATAGATGAACCTGCTTTTTTGTATCCTGGCCATCCACAAATTTTCTACATTTTATTTCCTTCCACACTGAGTTTCTTAAGGTTAAGCATCTTTGCGTATCTGCTCAGCTCAAGATAAGGACAATTTTAATTTCTTTCTAAAGCGAACTCTTCCATCTGAGTTGATCTCATTATATACTGGTGTGTGTCTCTCTCTCTGTGTGTGTTTAGAACCTTGCTCTATTCTCAGCAAACACCTATTAGTCACTGACAGTGTTCCAGACATTGTTTTGGGCAATGTCGACACAAAGATAAAAAGACAGGAACCTGCCTTGAAGCAGCTTACAGGATGGTGTGGAGACAGGCAATAATGGTAGTGAGTGGCAAGCGCAGTGGGACTAGGGGGCACAGGAGGACTTAGGTTTGTGTACCTGGTAACAAAAAGGACTTCACCTAGGAAACAGCTGAGATTTGCAAGATAAATAAAAATTAACCAAGTAGATACATTGGAGAAGTGAAACCAAGAAGTGAAACTATTCAGAGTTCGGGAGAGAATGGTGTAGCCAAACAACTCTAAGTAGTCTGCCACCAATGGAGAAAGGTCCCAGGGAGTTGGTGAGAAAGAACAGTACGGAGTTTAGAGTTTAGGTTATAATGGCCCAGGGAAGCACTGTTATCAGAGGTGCATGTGAGAAAGCTCCCTCTGGAAATATCATGGTAGAGGGATTAAAATAATGTTAAAATATGAGACCACTATTTGAGAAAGCAGGAAAGCCTGTGTGCTATATAAACTATTCAGTGATTGGCATGAAACAATGATAGTAGAGACAGAATTATGATGGAGAAAAACCCCAATGACATCTAGGTGGTTATTATAGGACTTATTAATTTATTGAATAGTAGTGTTAAGAAAGGGAGAAGAATGCAGACTGAGCTCCAGAGGACCTGTCCAACAGACACCTGGATGTGTGGGCATGGAACTCAGAGATACTGATTTGGGCACTGGCAGTGTAGGCAGACCAGGTGAGGTCACAGCTGTAGGTAAGATAGCCAGGGAAAATATGGGGTGTGAGAAAGGGGTGAGAAAACCATCTGGGGAATCAACAGAGCCAAAAATCAAATATCTCTGAAGACAACTGAGAAGGAGAGGCTAGAAAAGGAGAAGGGAGTAGGTTGTCATCATAGAAATTAAAACAAAAGACATTCAAAAGAGGAAGTGAAAAGCTGTCAAATGCTTCAGAGAATTCAAATAGGTACCAAAAGTGCCCCCTGGATTTAAGTAGAAAAATGCTCTCTCCAATTTCTTTCTTTCCCTGCCTCTGCATGATTAAATAACACGATAAAGCCACTTGTTCCCAGTGTATTTTCTTCCCAAAGCATTTTTCCTGTCATTCAGCTACTACTGCACTGAAATTTCCATCTTTCAATTTGCCAGCGATATTTTTTTTTCTACAAGTCACATTTTAAATGCCAACTCCCATGAGCTTTCTCAGTTATTATGCTATCTGATCTCTCTATAAAATTTTACAATATGAAGTCCCTCATTTTATATTGGCTCTTTCACAGTGCACTCAGTTTTCCTTTCCAGTCTCCTACAGGGACTCATTTTTGTTAAGCTCTTTAAATAAAACTGTCCCCTCAAGTTTTAATCTTTAGTTCTTTTCTCTGTGAAGTGCACATTTCACCTCCTTCATCCCCAAACATATTCACAAATCAGGAATGTGTAGAGCACTTCCCAGTAATCCGGGAGAGCTGAAGTCCCACCAGATTCAACATGCCCCTATAAAACTTGCTGCCTTTATAGAGTTACCTCCCAATATAATTCCCCATTTTTCTGTCCTGTCACCGATGCCTCCTCCTCCCTCCTTCCTTTCCCATATAGTCATCCCTCAGCCTGCGCTGTGCATTCTATTCCTGATCTCATGTTCATGTCTGCCCTCTGATATGCAAAATAATTTCAACATAGGGGATCTAACAGGACAAACTTATAATGGTTTATTCCCCATAATAAAATAATGACAGCAGTCGACATTTATCTAGTGTTCTCTATATGTTAGGTACTATTCTAAGCACATTGCATAAGATTTCTTCTGACCATTTCCCCTTCTGTGAATTTAGAAGAACAATATGGTTTATTCCCTCTCAAAGGTGTCATATATATTTAGGAATTTCTTTGTTTTATACATCAGTCTGAATTATGTAATCATTTTTTTCTGAGTGACACAAAATTAAGCATCGGGTAGTGAAGGTTAACTCATTTTGCCATCAAAACTCTAGCAAGAGGCACTGACAGATGTCTAAAATACAACTAAAATTCTAATGATGACGACTTCAGGCACAGTCCAATCCTAAAATATCTCTTTAGTTACCAACAAAAGATTACAACATGATTCATAAAGCCTTGGTGTTCACATAGTCTTGTTCTTTCGGAAAGCGATAATCTCTCTCAGTTGAATCATGTTGTTTTCCAGTTCTTTAAATGCAGCTAAGCCCTAAGTATTAGTTCTTAGGCATTTTCTCTTTGAAACCCACATGCACACCCATTACCCCACCTTGACAAATAACGAAGAGTAAACTAGACTTACTTCAAAAATCCAATTTTCCCAGAAACTTGTAAATCAGCAGAACAATTTTCATGGGCACAAAACCTTGCAAAGTTTACCTGAAAATAAAATATGACAGTATTTTATTGTTAGTTCAATTAGTAGGCATATTTCTGTTTGTTTTTTTAAAGACAGATATCTATGGATACATGAGAATAAAATTAATAAATCAGATTGATAACTCCTTATTTTATCATTTTTGAGGAGTTCAATATGAGAATTAGTAGGTTTAAATGAAAAATAATTTTGGGGATAAAGGAACTAAGTTCTTCTCATAGGAAAATTTAAAACCTAAATTTGTTAGGTGGGAAAAAGGATTTCTTTCTTTCATAATAGTTGTAAAAACAATTTTTTTAAAAATCAAACTTTGGTAGTAATCTATGTAAGTATTTAAAACCCTTTCTGCCAATATATTTTTTGTCAGGTTCCTCTCAATTTTCTGATGCTTTGATTCCACTTACTATATATGAGCCTGTCACTGAATTTTGCAGCGATTTTATGTTTATTGAAAAGAACAGATTGTAGACATTTAGAAATTTCACTTTAAGAACTCATTGAGCAAAAGTAAATGAACTAGCAAAGGACTAGAGTTTTGTCAAATTGCATGTCAAATTGCATGCCTATTGGGGAGCACAAGGAGAGTGTAAATCTTTCTCTAAAGGATTAGGTAAATACGATTTTTTCTATCACTCTTAGTTATAAAACAGGTTGTTCTAAGAGTCAAAATGTTAGTTATTATAACTACAGACTGCTTAGGTTTTGGCTTGTGCACTTACAATAAAACACATTTAAAGGTTCTTGCTATTGAAAAGTGAAGTCAAACAAAAGATTGAAAAAACTAACCTCCAGAAATATTTTTATATATGAGTATGAAGAAAATTTGCTCTTAAGTTATCATCTTTATTCAATCTAATATTGTAGACTAGACAGTGGTGATTGTAAGTTCAATTATCAAAGTGATTTAGGGGCAATTTTGTTGGGATAGGAAATGAACTAGACCTTAAAATGTCCCTTTTATCTTTCACATTCTGTGTGTCATCAGCGAACATTTTAATGAATGTTTTTACCATATCCCCAAACATCCTTTTGACTATGTCTTTGTGCTGTTGGATAGAAAAGTTATGAACAACTGGACTTCCAGAAATAAAACACTTTGTCAGTGAATCTGATATATTTTGAGATAGTGTGGAAAAAGTAGTTCACTGGTTAGAATGCAGGATCCATCCCAAAATGCCGTCAGTGTTGGGATGGGACTGGAAAGCATACAGTTAAATTTTAAAAGAGAAACTATTGTGTAACCTAAACACATACACCTATACATGAGTAAAACCCAGCAAGGGAATTTGACTAATAAGACTTGAGTGTATGATGGGAGGGGTGAGTGAGAGAAAGACACAAATGAGAGAGAAGAGACAGAAAAGGAGAAAGATAAACTAAACACACCTGATGACACAGAATAACCAACTGATGAACGCAACTCACTCCCACTATGAGTGCTCTCTAAGAATATACTTTCTTCCCTGGCAAGACATCAAGACAGAAAACTAACATTTTATGTAGTATATTAATACTAAGAGGCCCAGTGCATGGAAGTCATGCATTTGGAGCAGGGGTGAAGGGGTTCTTCAGCCCAGCCTGCACCCTCTCACAGTCCAGGAGCCCTCAGGGAATGTCTGAGTGCTCAGCGCTCCTGCTGTGGGAGAGCACTAAACACCAGGGGGCAGCTTCTATGTTGAGGGTCTGACCCCTGGTGGTCAGTGTGTGTGTCATAACGACCAGTCATTCCACTGGTCAATTTGCATATTAGCCTTTTATTATATAGGATGAGAAACCACTGCTATGACTAAATGCACATTTTAAAATATCCAGTTCAATATCCTGAAGGAAATATAAAAAATTAAAATTAAAATTAAAAACAAGACATACCATAAATCTTTTTATACAAAAGTTTTATACAATTTTTAAAAAGATTAGTTCATTTTCCTAGAATTATGTAATACTTAAAAAAAAAACACTTTGTTACATGTCACAATTTTTGAATCAAAGAAAATATTCTTACTGTCTTTTCAATTATGTCTTTTTCTTTCTTCTGCTGAAGAATTGGCTGGAGCGGTGGGAATTCCTCTTTACTTCGTTTACTGGCGATATCAGCCCCAAGGTGGTAAGCAGCTACAATCTGAATTGGATTGAGGATGTCTCGCACATCTTTCTAAGGAAATTTAAAACCATATGAATTAAAAATAAAGAGAAGAATGTAAAAAACAAAACAAAACAAAAAATACAGAAAGTTCCTCCCTTCCTGCATAGGGCCAAACACAACACTTGAAAGTAAAAAACTCTTATCTTTTAATCTAAATTATTTTTTAAAAATGTGCATGTCTATTTTTTCTCATTACAAAAATATTCATGTGCTTAGAAAAATACAAAAATAGCATAAAAATAAAAGACTATAACCATCTAACAATATATAAAAGTCTACATTGAGTATATTTTCTTCATGGTATTTTCTATGCAGGCTTTTTATAACTTGACTTTATCACGTAGCAATTTTCATTATAAACTCATTGTAGATCATTTCTCAGTACTAATGAACATTTTATTCTATTTAACATTGCCTTCTATCGATAATAGACTTGTAGAAATATAATCTCTCAATTTATTCAAGTTTCCTTTTTTAGATCTTTCAGTGTTTTTTTTTTTTTTGTGTGTGTTTTTATATAATTTGATTCACTTGTTTCATTTATGAAACATATCCTTTTAAGGACATTTCTAATTATCCTTTCTAACAGGTTATGGATAGTAATAGGAGGTTGCTTGTTTTATATATTCAATATGTTATCCTATTCACTGTATTGAATCTTCTTGCTAGTTGTTTTATAACATTTTTAGGATTATTGTTTTCACACTTCACAAGAACTCTTGAGTTATCAGTTATACAGAAATTGTAGCCCATTCCCAGAATCCATTATATTCTGTATGCATTCTTATAAATTTAATATCTTACTAATATTTAGCTGTAATTGACAGCCTTTCTAGAGAGTAATGTCAATGGGCCAGTTTTCTACTTATCTATAGATATCCCAGGATAGGAATATGGCTTAAACACCACTATCTAAGAGCAAATGCAAAACCAAAACCAAACAAAAATTAAAATAAATAAAAAATAACAATCAAATTATTTTCAAAGTTCAGGAATTAATAATCTCTAATGGATAATAAAACAACAACACCCTATCATACTGATTAATGTTGTACTAATTACATCTATAGTAACTTGACACCACCAATGACGTGAAATGAATACACATATCAAATGGAAAAGACATCCATGGTTTGTCTTTATGTAATAATAACAAACTACATCTATCCTGTTTTTATGTAATTTTTTCTCTTTCTCACCAGTCAGGACGTTATCAATATATGGATGGAGGGAGGGGAGGAGAGAGAGAGAATAACATCAATAAAAACATGAAAAGCAAAGTGGTCTGGAGGCAGACTACTGGGGTTCAAATCTCAGGTTCATCAGTTATTATCTATGTAACCTTAGGCAAATTATTTATCTCTCTGTGGCTCAGCTACCTCATTTGAAAATGGGAATAACAATAATGATGATAGTGATGATACCTACACCTTATTGTAAGGACTCAGTGGTATAATGTACATGAAACACTGAACACAATACCTGGCACTTATTAAGGTACCAACGGATGTTAGACATTATCTTTATTTGTGTGCTGGTTGCTTTCAACATGTAGCTATATAAGCCAACAAGGACTTACTGAATGTTCATTTCTTGTAAGAAATTCTGGTAAACATTTAGAAGAAATAAGAAAAAAAGATAAAATTCAATTACCGACAACCAATAAACATTAACAAGAAAATGAGTGACATAACAAGTATTAGACTTGCATTAATTAAGTGGTTCCTGAAAGATTTGAACCAGAGTACTCAAGAGCTCTCATACTTTTCTAATCTTATACATGGAAATGATTTTATTAAGTGATCATCTCAACATGAAACCTTGACCATATAGGAATGCTGCAAATCAAGGCCCAAATCCCAAGTTATCAATTTGTGAAAGTGGAACAGCTTGAAGCCCCGAGGATTACAATAGCAAACTTGATTAAATTATCCCTGAGGTGTAGGAGCTAGAAAACTGTTTGACTGTCCCTCCACATGTCCACTGTTTTAATTTCTCCACAAGCTTGCTTTGACCAGATCACATGTTACCTAATTCATACTAATTTTCCACAAGGTCTTCTCTACATCTGGTGTATATTACTTTCATTATCCTAATTAGCTATTAATTATGCTTTTCTCACAATATATAAAATGTACGTGCACTCTTGCAAAAACTGTACTTGACAGATATTCACACTTATTTAACTTTTAACAGCTCTACCTAAGGACAGATGCTATAATATCAAAAATGTCTTAAAGTGACTAAATATGTAGGAGGGAAAACGGAGACTTGCTTAAAATTTTTAATTTGGATGGGCATGTGCTATCTCTACCAAAAAATAATGAAGATTCCATGCCACATTTTTATGGACAATTTCATAAATTAGGGTACCCACAAGCATGCAAATTACCCCATGCTTGAAATTATACAAAATCCTCCTCCTCATTTGACTTTCATGAACTTGTGTATCTATGGCCAACTTAAGAACTGAGCTGTAGGCACATGTCCTCTTATTGTGCTTATGTAGTGAAGGATTTATTTAATGGGGCCAGAAATATTTATAAAATATCACTTAATAAAAAATGACATTGATTATCAGCATTTGAAGATATCTATTCATAGATCTATTGTGTACAACACAGGCTTTGAGGACATAAAACTGAAAGGCCATTACTATGTCACAGTCTATAACCCATAAATCCACACACAGTAAGGAGAGGAGTGTGATGACATATTCATACATAAGTACAGAAGAAGGAAGGCCACCCAATCTACACTTGAAAGGGGATAGGAAGGTTCTTACACAGAAGAGTTTTGAGCAAAAATATGATCAAGTTTTAGATTTGAGGTTTTAATATTTATTTTATTATTTTTAATTCTCACCAGAGGATATTTTTCATTGATTTTTAGAAAGAGTGGAAGAGAGAGGGAAAGACAGAGAGGAACATCAATGTGAGAGAAACACATTGATTAGTGGGGAAGAGCCTGCAATCCTACAACTGAGCCAGAATCGAACGCAAGACCCTTCTGCCCTCAAACCAATGCTCTATCCACTGAGCCAAATTGGCTAGGGTGGTCTAATATATATTGATTTCAGAAGAAGGGAGAGGGAGGGAGATAGATAGAAACATCACTGATGAGAGAATTATTGATGGGCTGCCTCTTGCATACCCCTTATTGGGGATCAAGCCCGCAACCCGAGCATATGCCCTTGATGGGAATCTAACACAGGACCCTTCAGTCCACAGGCTGCTCTATCCAATGAGCCAAACCATCTCGGGCTGAGGTTTTCTAAATGCTTTTCTAGTACTAATGTTGGGAAAAGGTTGGAGAGGGAAAAGGTAAGACTGAGGCATAGATTGGAACCTAAGCCAGTAGGACCATGTATAATTATAATCACTTTATCTAGCAAGCTTGAATCAGCAGGCAAAAAACTATCAAAGATCCAGCGCTACAAAAACACACCATCTCTAAGACAGGTGTCCTAACCATTTTATCAGTAGAACATACTCAGATTTTCCCTCACAGAATTCTTTAAATAGCATCAAGAAGACATTACCCATAAATTGATTAAATATTGATTTTCTGCCTTATGTAATGTATTTATTTTTAAAGGATACAAATATGCATAAGATAATATTCTGTTTTCAAAGACCTTACAATCTAGCAAAGGATTAACATATGTTGGGATAATCAATTCACTTCTAGAATAGTATAATGTGAGTATAGGTATATAGTTTATTTGCATTTAAATTGTGAACAGAAACGTATGCATACATGGATTGATCCATAGTGTGGTGGGCTTAACATACAACTGCTTTGGAGCAAATGGCACTTCACTAAACTATGTGCTTATATAAGCAAATAAAATATGTAAAATAAAAACAAAATCAAATATTCATTTCCTTATCGAAAAAGGTGGCCTTTAGAAACTCCCACAGAGCTACATAACAAAACTCCCTTATTTCAGAAATTTAAAAGCTAGAAATTAGGAAAAATAAGGGAAATATAAGAATGAACTAATTCACCAAACAGGTAGTAGGCAGGTTGATTTAACGATTTTTACACAACATGCGAATGCCACTGTACTCACTGGCTCTCTGGATACCACCAGGCACTCCTGGTCTGACTAAGCTAGATATTTCTAATTTTTATTGGAAATACTACATTGGCAGGAAGGGAATCCAGTTACTTCCTTTGTTATCCCAAAGTAGCACCTTTTTACTCTTCTCAAACATCAGTGAATATGGTGATGCAGAGATTCCATCAAATTCAATGAAGAGATGTCACCTAGGAAAATCTCGAAAGGACATCTCACTTCCATGGCCTCTCCAATATTCCCCAAAATTGCAGCCAATTATCAACCCAATATTTCATTAAGTGATTACAAGTGTCTCAAACTCAACCTGACATGCATTCATAACTCACTAAATATCTTCTGAATTGAGTGGGTGGATAAGTGGAACTTATTTGGTATAGCCAAAGGAAATAGTTATACCAAGGAAGGTGTGCCTAGCTAGTAAGCTAGGAGTCCTGTGAGAGGAGGGGCCTGTGGCCTGAGTAAATCATTAACAAGCAACACCTCATTTCACATAAGGGTGCCAACAGAGGATGCACATGTATATTAACCCTGCAGACCCTGGGCATATTTGACAGAACAAAGGAACAACTCAAGCACCTGACTGGTGGTCATTTTCTTTTTCTCTGTTATTAGGGAGGTATCTTGGCAGAATTCGGGTTGCGGTTCTATTCTTTCAGACAGTAGAAGCACAGCCATGTTAATGATGCCGAATGCCTCCCATCCGGTGCCAGGCTGTGGGGGTGAAAGGCACTCACTGCGTTCCCACACTTCCCTAAACAGCAGCCAGTGCTCCCTGACGAGGTTGGAAGCTGCTTCTGTGGTCCTGACACCTCCCTGGAGTGCGGTGGGAGGGTCACAGTACTTGTGCCTTCCTAGATCTGTGTATTAAAATCCCCCCCCCCCCAAAAAAAAGCAAGAAGATTCAGGAAGGAGAGAAAAACACAATAAAATCACATGTGGTTGTGTGTGTGTGTGTGTGTGTGTGTGTGTGTGTGTGTTTTAAATTCCCACTATGTTCCATCCCAGAGCTAAGTGTTTTTGTTTGACATTGACAATATGGCCCTAAGTCAATGGCTGATACCATGGTAACATTTACAAGTATATAAACAACAAACACAGAAACCTCTGCTAAAATCTCACTTCCACTACAAATGTACTCGGAAGAAAATGTACAGTTTTGAAGAACACTTACTCATAGGAACAATGCCAAGAAACACAGGCCTAAATAACTCAGATCAATTTACTGCCTCTTACACACATTCAACACAATATGTTTCTTTGTGAATGTCTAATGTTGGCCCTTTTATTGCCTGTAAAATGGTCTCCATGTTAGTCTCTGAAACTGACGAACCTAAGTGAAATGCCTATGTAAAATTTTTTTTAAAAGAGAACCTCTTTAATCTCTAGCATCTAAATGATGGTTACATTAATATCATTCCATACTTTTGGCTCGCGACCATCTGATTGCTTTTCTCAAGTACAACAATAAGAACTGCTCAGGGAAATGAGGAAACGGCATAGGGATTAATGTTCTTAGCATGTAACAGTGCACCGGAATCCTGATGCTTGTTTGCATTTGCTTGGAATAAGTATCAAAGGGACAATTAAGTTCTAAGCTGAGGCTATGATCTGAAATCCCAGAAACAGCTCCTGGGAATGGTTTGGCTTTTTTTGTGACAATAGATTTTCTGATGGCGTACACCATTCCCTCTTGAAAAAGACCTGGCACTACTTCATCTGATAAGATTTGACCAGTGCCAGGAGCACGATGATCAGTTTGGGGATGGGTGTTTTAATAACAGAAACATGACATTGGCTGTGCTTTGGCAGGACATACCCCACACCATCATGCGAGCCGTCCTCCTGGCCCACAGCTGAGCCCTAGCCCACTACAACTGGGCACGTTCCCACTGACATCACTGACAATGCTGGCACGGAGGCAAAGGCATAGCCCAAGAGCAGCCGTGTTGCATTCTGCTTTGTTAGAGTCACACAGAAAGCAAACCAACTTTCCCACCTTCTACCTCCCCTCCCCACTTGCTGCCACCTCCCCACACCCTCCCTCGGAAGAAGCCCTCCCCAGGAATAGATCTGAGGCTCAGCTGAGCTGTTCAATATATACTTTTCTAGGCAAGGGTATAAACAGAAATAAAACACTGCAATTGTAGAAAGGAAAAGGCAAGTCTTTTATAAACAGTGATGCAGTAAATGTAATAAATGTGAAATAAAGGAGGTGCAAAAAGTGGACTTTGAATTACCCAGGTCACAGGTTATTAAAGGTTTTGAATCTGGAGCAATAAAATAGGTCAGCTAGTTCAGGAGGAGATAGCACTGGCTTTTAACTGTATATTATAAAAAGACACCAATGCCCTAGGGGGTTTGGCTCAGTGGATGGAGCATCAGCCTGAGAACTGAAGGGTCCTAGGTTCAGTTCCAGTCAATGATAAGTACATTGGTTGCAGGCTCAATCCACGGCCCTGGTCGGAGTGTATGCAGGAGGCAATCAATTGATGTGACTTCCCTCACTTTGATGTTTCTCTCTCTCCCCCTTCCTTCCACTCTCTCTAAAAAAATCAATAGAAAAATATCCTCAGGTGAAGATTAACAACAAACTGCACCACTACCACCAATAAAAAGAAACATAAATCAATGTACTAAGATTTTTACTGTACTGATAATATTGAAGTTTATACATTAATAACGCAAACTAGTCTACATTACCCGCATAAATGCTTGGTGTTTTCTACAGTTAGCGACTGTGCTTGATACTTTCATTCTTCCTGTAATCACATCAGAAGTTCCATTAGAAGAGAAGTAAAACCTTGATGGAGACTCCGCTTTTCTGCTCACATCCAAACTCATGTTATAAAACAAAACTGAAAAAATGCAGAGAGAATTGAAATTAATTTCTAAAGGCGTTTATTGTGTTATTTTTGAAGTGATCATAGTCAAAATTATAGAGAATATTGGAAATGTCTTAAATTCTATTTAACAAATAGCTTTAAAAAAAACTAACCTGAGCTATGAGAGAACAATTTAAAAATGCAAATTACAAAAGTTATTTTTTATAAATAAAAAATGTTTAAAATTTTCTCTAGGTTTCTAATTGTAACAATATTAGAATCTTTAGTTATCTGCTTTAACCACTTACATGTAAATGTTTCAAAGTGACAATACCAAATTGTTACTACTACTAAAAGTCCTGAGCAAAATTTCAAATTTCTTTGGAGTCTTTTTTGTGTTTAAAGAAGTACAGGCAGAGTACTGTGCTCAAATGTCACCTAGGACTATTTCTACCTTGTGTGGTTATATAATTAACTTCATATGTTGTTAGGGTCATTTATTTCCATTTGTTTCCAATTTGAGGGGTTGATCTTTGTTTTGATTTGTTATTGTTTTTTTAAATATAAAGTGAACACACAATTCAAAAGTCAAACCTATATAAACAGTTTACTCAAAAGTGTCTTCTTTTCCAGACCTGGGCCCTGATAAGTCAGCTCCACAGTTTTATTGGTTTCTATTTTGAACTTCAAGTGCCGATTTGTGCAAAAAATAAACAAATACAGACAGACATTCTCTCAGTAAATATTTTGACAGTTCTGCAAGAAGTTATTTCAGCGGTCGCCAACCTTTCGGACCTCACGGACCACCAGGGGTCTGTGGACCACCTTTGGCGACTGCCGCTCCAAAGGTTTCCTTAAACTAGCAGTCGCCAACCTTTGGGACCTCATGGACCACCATATGGCAACTGCTGACTTATTTCAAATCTGACATAGTACATAATCGTCTGCTAATGATCTCCAATAAGCAAAACAATGAGGAAAATTTACAAGCAACTTAAAAAAAAAAAGTCCAAGCCAGATCTTATCAAGAAAGAGCCATTTCTTGACTCTCAAGAGATCTTTGCAAAACAAGCTGCATCTAATAGTTTGTGGAGGTGTCACTCACATAGGATCAATAATTCATTAAGTGGTATTTTGAATTTATGTAACTCCTGAAGTGTTCACTTAATATTTTAGGCACAACTAACTCCTCTGAAAGTATTTTATCTATTTATTTCAGGGAAATCTATACTCCACAAATTTCAAATAAATATGTCAATCTTCCTTTTATTTAGAAAATAATGAAGTCCAAGTCAATTGGCTTCAAAATCATAATAACTAAGATTCAATGCCTTAAAGATATTCAGACAAAAGTAAATGAAGAAAAGTGAATAAAAATGGACTCACAGTAAGAGGCAAAAATGTTCAGGTTTCATTAAACACTAGTGGCCCAGTGCATGGATTCATGCACATTGAAAGGAAATTAATTAGAAGTATTTTAATATCACTATTCACCCTTTCTTTATAATAGAAGTGTCAACCAAATTTACAGTCAACAATGACAGATAGAAACACATGTGTGTATTGGCGCCAGCAAGAGCTTTACATATATTGTGCTTGTGTGAGTCAACTTAGCCTTTTATACATATAGAATAAACTTGTTTAATTAGACCTGCTTTCTGATGTAGCTAAACTTTTTCCAGCCCAGTGAAGCACCCCAACTTCTCTTTCAGGTAATTGTCATCAACACAGCAGTGAATAGCACAAAGCAGATTATTATTGTAGACCATGCAGGGAGAACAAAGGGTAAAATATTTAACTGCAGTAGTGTCTGACTATATTCTGTGCAGTGAGAAAACCTGAAATCATTTTCAAGGTCCACCATTTCTTATTTCTTTTCAATAGGGTCAAGTTTCTAGGTTTTCTAAATCTCCGTTTTCTGGCTAATAAAAAAAAAAATAGGATTCCATTGAGTCTCCTATCTACCTCACAGGAATTCTGTGAGGATCAAATGAAATGAGGCACAGGAAAACGCTTCACAGACACTTGGTTAAAGTGTGAGATGTCTGCACCTAGCTATAAAGCAAGTCATGCTCCTGGGCTGAAGAAACTGCAAGGAGGCTAGTTGTCGCTAGGGAGATGAAGCCAGGCATTGCTATGTGACATCATTACCCGGAAGGACACTTGGCATATTAGCCTTTTATATAAATAGTGTGAATTATTTCTCCCAAGGAGTCATTTTACAGCTATAAAGCATATTTTTGTAACACTGCTGGGATTATTTACAAATTTTATATACTTGTTCTCAAACAATTAAAAAATATCTGGTCACAAAGGAATTGGTAGTACAACATATACTGATTTTATATTAAGGGAAACAGTCCTATCAACTGAGCACCTATCTTTTGGATAATCCATCAGCTTGTCTGTGCTCCTGTGTTACTGGAGTCATGCTCTCAAACTGCCACTTCTTCCATCAGAAACCAGAAGAAGGATGTGCCCACAGTCTTATCACTGCATGTCCAGCCAGGACTTTTGAGGAGTGCTATAAAAAAATGAGTCTGACCACAAGTAGAGATGCTAGGCTCCTTATGTACTTCTCACTACAGGCTAATTCAGACTGGAGCATCTGTTACACATCTGTTATTTGGTTCAGTATTTTTCTGCCTTTAATGTTTAGATGAGGGCAGCCTGCAGGGTCATGAGTACAGTAAACTGCTAAGTGTGGCGCTCATAAATTTTGTGAATTATTGATGCCCAAATGATAAATCCAGATCTGCTTCTCTTCTATCATAGGCTAGTTTCATTAGTAGTCATTCCCATAGTAGCCTTGGTATAACATAATTAAGAAAATTAACTTGCTAGTGAAAAAATGTAATACTTAACAAGTTACATATTTGGATTTGGGATTAACCATAATTTTGGATGAGCCATATCAATGCTACTTTTTTCAGAGAGGAAAACTGAGTTACCTACATATAGAAAAATGTGCACTCAGGCTTCAAGAGCCATAATAAATCCTTAACAGATGTGTGTTATTTATGAAAAGTGGAATCAGAGTCTAGGCTTTAGAAAGGTTCTTCAGTTATTCAAACAGGACAGAATATAAAGAAAAGAAACTTCTCTCTCCCTGGGTTCCCAACTTAAGCCAACATCACGCTTTAAGGAGCCCAGTAAAACGGAGGAGAAACTGTGGTGATGCTTTTTCTGTTCTATAGAGCTGTTACAGATGAAGCTCGGTTAGTTCACTTTAAATAACACAGCAAGTGATACACTTGATTTGCTTATCATAACCTCCAAACAACAGTAACCTCTAATGAGCCCCATGCGTAGGTTAGAATAATGAGAGCATCTAAAAAAATGGGGAAGAAAGATGGTAGACTGCTCTCCCCTGCCCTAAAGCAGTCCTCCGTGGTGAGACAGAGAGAGGGCTCAAAAGATGACATTAAGCTTAATGGGTAAAGTACACATTCTATTAATTTTGTAAGGGTGCCCTTACCAATATAACCTGGAACCTCTTTGCCCTTGTATGAGAAACAGAGTGTTAGATCCATGCACACAGAAGGCAATCCATTTTCAATACAGTCAAAATGTGTTCTATTTACTGACTCAGGATGGTTTAAAGAAGCTTCGACAATCACTACAGGTCTTGTCCTAAGGAGGAAATAAAATTAGCAATATTAACTACAGAATTATTTTTTCCTAAGGAAAAGAATTGCATCTGTCAGTTTCCATTGACTAAGTAATTTCATGGAATTGTTTTATTAACAGTATGTGCATATAATCTCAATTAAATTTCCATGCTTGAATCAAGAGGGATTTTCATAAAATATTGACTTTGTCTGACTCTATTAATTATATCTATATAAGGTGGAAAAAGTATCCTAAAGTTCAATAATTAAATTTTGGACTAACTAAAAGAGGGTTATAAGGTCACCACCATTGCTGATTTTAAAAATTGCCTCCCATCATTTACAATTAAGCCCAATTGTCATTAAGCAGCAAAATGTATCAACCTTACCTTAGCAACACAGCAGAATCAGACCGAAAAGCACCAACTGCTATATCTGGAGAATAAAAAAAACAAACACGGAATAATGATCATCAATCATTAGTCAAAAGAATTACTTTTCAGTCAGAAATACATATCACCTTTTGACTATATCAAAACACTATTTATAGAAAATTAATTAGAAAAGATATGCTTACATCTTAAGATTTATTCCACCATTTGTCTGAATCTACTCAGTTACAATGACATTCATCCCTTTATAATATAAACATAATGTGATATAAAATGAAAATCTGATTTGTTAGAAACATTCACCGAGAAATCTTTCAAATTACAAAAAAGAGAACCCACAAAAACAGTCTTCTTCCTTTTCATCATCATACTAGAGGCCTGGTGCACAACATTCCTGCACTTGGGGGTGTGGGTGCTCAGTCCAGCCTTTTATTATATAGGATGGTTCATTTACTTTTATGGTTGTTTTTAATTTTATAAAGAATAAGGAATGATGTTAAATAACTAACATGTAAAGCTAAGGAATTACTTAACCATTTCAGAGACATCCTTGAATTCAAAAAAGCTTTAAAAATGAAGGGAAAATTTATCAGTAAATCAGAACTCTCTTATGTACTTCTCAATAAATAGGATCCACAACAGAGCATATCCCAAAATAAAAAACAAGGCAAATTTTATACTCACCCATATATCCATTATTATCTGCATCAATTTGCCCAGATATGGACTGTCCAAACATACTTAAGGATTTGCTGATTTGAAGCCCTTCAATTCTCTTAAAAAAACAAAACAAAAGAAAACAGATAAGTTGAGTGAGAAGTGCTTTTGAACATCCTCTATCCTAGAGAACCAATGATTTAGTTAAAAAGCCTTCCCATGCCCTGGCACATTTATGAACAAAATACATTTTAGCTAAATCAAAAACTTGTATCTCAGAGAAACAAAATTTTCCAGCTTTCCCTAGGCAGCTGACATCTAAGAAATTATTTTGTGAGTAAAGAGAAGTCATGTAGTACAGATCTCCTATAATGGTCCTGACCCCTTTCCCCAGTCTTCTCTTCAGTTCTGTGTTCAATTCCCTGACCAGCATGAACTACCAAACAAGTAATCTGGAAAATAAGACATTTCTAGTCACTTAGTGGAGCCCTCAACTCAGGCTTATGGGGAAAGCCACCCGTTAGACTGCATCCTAGCATTTGACAAGGACAACTCAGGTCCTGTGCTTCTTATTCCATGGGTCTCCTTTCATGTCCAGATGGTGATTTAGAAGTATCAGGCTGCCATCCAGACTTAGAAAATCAGCATTTTTTACTGACAAATACACACCTTTCATGTTAAACATGGAAAGCCACATGCCTATTTTTGCCTAATCAGAAATAACATGTTTTCATAAAAGTATCTTTGGAAAAGCTTTTCTTCTCTGCATGTGCATATAATTATTTTCCATGCACTGAAATGGCCTATTTTTTTCTCCAGATTACATAGAAGTGAAATCAGAGTTAAATCAGGCGCTTTATGAAAGTGCTTTTGTCTTACTGCTTTGCACTGAAAGAACACAGAGTAACATATAGAGTGTTTGCTCTCTCTGTGTGTTCTCCACGAAATATGGGGCTTTAGCCACAAGACATGATAGTTAATCAAATCCAAATGGGCTCATTTGGAATAGTATAGATATTACCTCAGAACATAAATGTAATGAAACGCAGAAGAAATCTTTATAGGTTAATGACAAGCTAGGATGGAAGTGAACTAGAACTCTTAGTTTTGGGGTGAAAATCGTTCCAAAGACTTATTAATACTCTTACAAATGATACCACCTATTATGGTGATTAAAATGGTGAAATAGAATATTAAGTATTTGAACAAACAAATTAAGAAAAAGAAGTCTCATTAACACCAGAAATGTTAAAGAAACTTTTATTACCAATGCTTCTTTTAGAAAATAGCATCATCTCCTACCTGTGAGAAGACTGATGAGATCCCATCTGCTCCACCATTGTAAATATAAATGGCGCCTCGCAAGTCATCTTCCTGTGGAGCTCCAATAGCAACATCTATTCAAGAATGTAAGTGGTGGAAAAATAAATCCTTGATATAAAGAATGCATCTTTGAAAACTAACCTGCATACTCCTCAATCACATTAGATAAGACAAAAAAACTCCTTTTAAAAAAAATTAAAACTTTTCTAATTAGAAAGAAAAAAAAGATTACAAAATACTAATATCATCACAACAATGCACAGTGTTGTACATGAAAGCCAGTGCATGAGAGAAGCAGAGTAAATGGGTCTGAGAGGCATTTTAACATAATGGTTACGGGAATGGGCCTACAGCCAGACCCCTGGGGCAGACCCCAGCATTGCTGCTGTGCTGTTATACTGGACACAATGCTTAACCTCTCTGTCTCTCCTGTTCCCTCACCTATAATACAGGGTCATAAAAAACTCAGTCACTCAACAAAGAAGGACATTATTCATCTAAAGTGCTCAGAGCCATACCTAGAATCCAATCATTGTCATCTATGAAAAGCATAACCAAAGAATCTTACTTTGAGTTTTTGAGTTCTAAGATTTACCTTCTTTGCAAAATGACTTCTAAATTAATTTATGTTCCAATGCAAGTGTTTAAGGTATTTGTTCAGGGTATCTGTATACACACACACACACACACACACACACACACACACACACATACACACAGAGATTTCAGAAAATAGATTTGTTATATAAAATAATGACTGCATGACCTTTATGACTTTATTAAGATTCACATCAGATTATGACATCATGCGAAAAGATTTTGATCAACTCACATAAAAAAGCCAACTGAAAACAGAAACTAGGAATGACATGGTTTTTTCATTAAAAAAAAATTAAAACAAAAATAGAAAGATTCATGTTCATGAATTGAAAGAATACTGTTAAAATGTCCATATTACTGAAAGCAATGTACAAATTATTGCAATCCCTATCAAAATCCCAATGGCATTATTCACAGAATTAGAAAAAAAATTCTAAAATTTGTATTGAACCACAAAAGGCCCTGAATAGCCAAAGCAATCTTAAGAAAAACAAATCCAGAGTCATCACATTCCCTGATTTCAAACTGTATTACAAAGCTATACTAACCAAAACAGTATGATAGTGGCATAAAAACAGACATATAGATCACTGGAACAGAAGAGAGGTCCCAGAAATAAATCCCCCCCACACATATATATATATAGTTAATGCATTTAAGAAAATACAATGGAGAAACAGTTATAAATGGTGATGGGAAAACTGGACAGCTACATGAAAAAGAATGAAACTAGACCAACTACCTTAGACCATACACAAAAATTAGCTCAGAATATCCATCATAGTATTTTATAAATAGATGTTATTTGTGTAATCATAATCATAAAAATATCTATCTTTTTGTTTTTAATATAGTAAAAAAAATCCATAAATAGTATAATTTGGTATACAAATGTTACCATCTTACATTTAATGGGGCTCATTGAAAGCATAGGTTCAACAACCCACTAACTTTCTCCTTGCAAAGTAACATCTAAAGTAGAATGAAGGAAGCACTTAGGCATAAAAAGAAATTAAGGAAGTGAGAATTTACAGTACAAACTTAACTAATTTTTGATATCCATGTAAGTTTTGACTTAATGCCATATACCAATCATCAATGACTATATAAGAAGACAATACTAGCTCTGAAAATAAATATCAAACACTTATTTGCTGAACTCCATGAGTCACACACATCCTTTCAATCTTTTTTTTTTTCAAGTTCATTTCCTATTCATCATTTTATGCCCAGTTTTGACACGCATGGTAATCACTCAGGGCTAGATCGGAGAAAGCAAATTTTAAGCAGGAAGGCTCATAGAAACAAGTACTTCAACAGCTGGGCTGATTTCCAGGCAACAGGCACAGTTATGATGGTACCATCTATTCCATTGTTGAAATTGGGCCATGTTAGTTGATAGCCACTATTCTTGAGTCTGCTAGTTGCAACCTCACCATTGTTCAGGACTCAATCATGGGATCCCTCAGATCCTCCCACAATGCTACAGCTGAACAAGGAACTCCTGTATAGCAGGGTGCTTCCAGAACCCTACACCAGCTCTGCAGACCTCCACTGGGTTTTGTCAGAGTCTTTATTGTACTAACAGTAAAAGAATAAGGCCCAATGAGTCTATGATATACATTTCCCCCACATTTAACATTTCCAAAATCAGAATCCTTTTTACAATAGAAAAATGGTGGGTCACAATTTAATAGCATTTTTTAGGGGCACAAAAATAATGCCACTCATAAACACATATAACAACAGTAAGAATCAATAGCTGACAACTAAGGAGAAGTCAGGTGTGACTAAAAAAAAGAAGAAAAAAACTAAGCCTACATTCTAGCCCCATTTTCTATAGAAAGACAAACAACATAAAACTTCAATCATATTTTCTTCCACGTACCATTTGAAAAGTGGAAATCAAATGCTAAATTGGATACTTTTACTTACCTTCAAAGCCATCATTATCAATGTCACCAAGATTAACTATAGATTCCCCAAATCTTGCAGCATATTTGTCACTTCCAACGAGTTCTATTTCCATTTCATTCATTACTGCTCCCTAGATGGAAAGGGGGAGAAAGGTGTCACTGTAACACTCCCTGACAACTTTCCACATGATTTACTGTTGTAATTGGGTATCGATTTTTTTTTTCTTCTAATGCTTCGAACAAGTTGGACAAACTACAGACTGAGGTGCAGCACACACATCTCAGTTCAATTCAATAAATATTTATCAAGCACATGTCAACACAGAATAGTATGATCAGAGCTCAAAAGATATAAAAAAAACCTGTCAAACTCATGATTCTTCATTTTGAAAAATCCAATACATCATTTTGATAATTCAATTTAGCAAATATTTACCGAGTTCCTACTGCAGGCACTGCACTCTACAGACTGACAAGTGGAAGGGAAGAGGCGGTGTGTTCATAGGACACAAGCCCTTTCCTAAAGAAGCCCAGCGTTACAGGAAAGGCTACACGTGTAAATGACATAGAAGTATAGACTGCTTGGTAATATCAAAGAACAAGGAGAGAGATGTAATTGTGAGAGCCACGAGAGATTTCATAAACAATATTCAAGATAACCATTGAAGGATGGGCATACTCTTGACACACAGATATCATTATCAGCAAAGCACAAATTCCAAAGAACAGTGTGCAGAATGCGTGAGAACAAAATATTCAGATTGGATCCTTGGAGGGAGGGACTGTGAACACTGGGGGGAACTGACTCTCAATTTAGGGGACAGTAGTACCATACCAGCATTTTTTACTTTCATCATTAAAATAAGCCTAAGAATCTGTAGTCTCAGAGCTCCGGAAGACGATCCTAACACGATCCGCTGAGGGGCTCCCGCGTGGGGCTCCGCAGACTTACTGAGCCGGAGTTGATGTACACGAACACTCTGCCTTCCTCCCTGACGCTGCTCTGCATGGGGGCGCCCACCAGCAGGTCCGAGAAGCCATCCGCGTTGAGGTCCGCGGCGCAGATCGAAGCTCCAAAGTAAGAGCCAAGCTGCTCCAAAACAAACCAGACCGGTCACTGAGACAACGTCAGGGCCAGGCACCAAAGCCCGCAGGGGTACCAAAGGCAGAGACATATTACCTTTTTACCTTTCATTTCATGTAAGATCTTTAGTTCCCTTTTATCGATTCTGAATATGTATGCCTGCCATTGTGGAAAGAATCAGAAAAGGTTAGACTGTGACATTTTAAAATTACTTTCATTTGATCAAAATACCATTTCTCGTAACTCGTAATTGCTCAAATACAGTTCTAAAAACCCTTTACAGAGGGATCGCAAAGGTTTAGGAAACAACGCCCAGGTAACTACCTTCTCAGGAGCTACCTCCTGGCCCCTGAGAGAGAGCGAGCGCAGAAAGCAAGCATTTTTGCCTCACTTTTCAAAGGAAGGCTAAGAAAAATGTAGTCACCTTTACGCAACACTGTGACAAAAGCTAAAGCCAAAAATAGCATCTTATTCTTCTTGGTCTTGCCATAAAACATGTTGCCACCCCAATTTCCCATTAGTTGTAAACGTGTTAACCATTAAATATATTCCCCAGACACCTTGAGACAGTCTTATGAAAAACAGTTTCCTCATAAGAAAGAAAAGCTTCATCTGACATACTATTTTCCTTAAATCCTTTCTGCCCAATTGTATCTGAGAGCCGTACAATGTTCACCAATCCCATGAAATGTAGAACACGGCTCTTCATGGTTAGCTTTCATTCCTCAGCATGCATGTGCTTCCTCCGTTAACCTCTCCTCTCGTGTGAGCTATTTGAATCCTGGTAAAGAAATGAATAAAAACGTGGTTCTTACTTTGCCAATCTGTTCGTGCTGAGGGGCTCCTCCGACCACCTCCGTGGTATCCCTACTCCAAAAGTGACCAGCTCCGACTGAGTATCCTTCAAGAAAACAGACAATTGCAAGGCGCGTCAGCTGCCATGGGCAAAATATATTATCACATATCCACTCAGAATTAAGTGAGACTGAGTACAAAGTGACTGCACGGGACAGAATTTTAATAATATTTAGCAAAGCAATACGGGTACACACAACTGGTCATTCACTGTATGCTTTAATTATTAATGTGTATGTTATGAAACTAGTCACATGGCTTTATCTATCCAAGTCCTAGAAATTGAAGATGGCTCCTTTACGTTTGGTTTGTTAAGTCTCTGTGTAGTATCAGGACATGCAAGCTCCTGGGATTATAGTAGAAATATTTTAGAGCATAGCAAATATAACATTTTAAACTTGGAGTGTAAAGTTTCCTAAGTTGCAATTTTTTTGCCATGAAATCTTTATTATGATAAAATTTGATGATGATAGAAATGGGGACATATTTTTGTTTTATTATGTAATAGAAAGGGTAATACCAGGCTATATTTTGTCATACTTGAAGATAATCTTCAACTCTAAACAAGTAAACGATAAATTGTAAGTGAATTCCCTGTTTGAAAATGAATTTCTTCTGCTCAAATGGGAAAGATAGAAATAGTGCTAAGAAAAAAGCAGTGCTGAGTATAGACTGCTCACATGTGAAGCACATATGGCGTAAGCAATTATATACTTTCTAAGAAACTATAGAAAAAGTATTCCTTTCACTATAACAGGGGAATTAATGCCAGAAGAATCTTGTGTTTCTATTAAAACAGTCTATAAATAATCCCACTGCTGAGTCATTAAGAATAAGAAGATAAGAATAAGAAGATAAAAAAGAGTTAAGCTCTGAGAAATATTCTAAGAACTTATGAGTCAAAGGTCAATAGCCATTTTTTAGATTCATATGCTTCATAATGTTACCCATTGTCTAGAATGTGGTCCACAACCTGACTGATTTTCAGCTGGTCCTTTAAGAAACTACTTACTTATATAATTAAATAAGTTAATTAATGTATAGTGCTTACAAAAGTTCCTCGGATATGGTAAATAATCAATACTGCCTTTATAGTAATAAGTAGACTGCATAAAGACACAAGCTCACAAGTTTTACTCCGCAGAATAAGCACTTTGCAGTAAAACAGGAGTTCCAGTCTAAGAATTCTATATTGATGACTGTAGTTACATTATCTTAAATGTGAAATTAACTAAAGTTGCATAGATTGTATTCCTAAACAGACAAACTGTCTTTTTAATAACCACTGGCCATTTTGATCTTTTTTGTTTTTGTTTTAATCTTCTCCTGAGGATCTTTTTCCATTGATTTTTAGAGAGTGGGAGAAGAGAGGAAAAGACAGAAATATTGACATGTGAGAGAAACAGTGGATTGGTTGCCTCCTGCACAGACCAGGGAGGAGCCTGCAATGAAGGTATATGCCCTTGACCAGACTTAAACCCAGGACCCTTTGTACTGTAGGCCAATGCTCTATCCACTGAGCCAAACCAGCCAGGGCCATTTTGATATTTTGAAAATATAATTCCCCTTACTTACAATCACTAGTATCTGTAAGAAAGATTATAATTTCAGTTTGTCAATTTTTACAGTACCTAAGTAACTTCCAAATTTTACTTGATTTTCTTTGTCTATAAAAGCCGTGTATTTGTTTGCAGTTATATTGTATGAAAAAACAGAGCCAGTCCAGTAAGATGATCCTGGAGCTCCCATCACGATTAAATCCTGTAAGAGATAAACAATTTAGCATCCTTTAAAAGTTTAATCTCACCACCCAAAATCTCTTCCAGATATACATTTTAAGTAAATAGTGACAAGAATGCATTTTATAATAAATTTTTAAAACCTGAGCATTTTATGAACTTAAAAACAACAACAGAAAAAAGAAAAGAAAAAGCCAGAGAAGCTAGCTAATGGATTTTCACTAAAAGTAGAATTTTAGAAAACTTTCACTTCACACTTATCAGTGGACTTAGAAATCAAAGGTAGAATCATTGAACAGTAGAGTGAGCTTTCAGGAGAAAGGCAATGTGGTTTCTATTAAAGTAAATCAATATGGGTAATTAATTAGTGCTCATTACAGAGATAATCATATGTTGTCAAAGAGTGAAAAAGTAGATAACCTATTTCAATTTGCAAAAAGCCATTAACTAGTTTCCTTAACAATGTTAGCTTAGAAAATATAATCCAATTAAAATCTTGGGCTTGCGATCAATGATTCTCTCTTATTGATGTTTCTCTTTCTCCCTCTCTGAAATCAATAAAAAAATCTTTAATAAATTTGGGAGGCATATATGATGATAAGTATGAATTTAGAAAAAGCAAACAGAAGGAAGGTTGAAATAAGCAAATAGTTGTCTAGCAAAATATGAAAACTTTCAGCAATCAAACCTACTTAATGTATTTCGAAATTTCCTAAACAATTCTGAATTTCAAGAAAAGACCAATTTAAATATACATTAAAGAAATCATTTTTTTTACATAGTAGGTAATATTTATGGAAATTGTAAACCTAGGGCTTTCTTCATAGATTCAGAAAACATTCATAAATTCCTGTTTTTAAAAAAATATATTTTGTTGATTTTTTACAGAGAGGAAGATAGAGGGATAGAGAGTTAGAAACATCGATGAGAGAGAATCATCGATCAGCTGCCTCTTGCACACCTCCTACTGGGGATGTGCCCACAACCAAGGTACATGCCTTTGACCGGAATCGAACCTGGGACCTTTTAGTCCGCAGGCTGATGCTCTATCCACTGAGCCAAACTGGTTTCGGCCCTAACTGGTTTTAAAGGGAAACTGGCAGCTTTGAAGGTTGAGTACAACTGGGATCATTCACTGGGAGTTACAGAATGACTACAGTGGTGGAAAAGAATAATTGAGTTTGAGAATATATCTGATCTAAGAGATCTAAAAGGTTATTAAGTTCTTTAATCTCCCAATTCTCATCATTTTAATTGAAAGTGTGAATTCCTATGTTTACTCCTCTCCTCAACAAGTAAAAATAACATACTAGGTATTTTCAATGCCTAAGTTAACAAAACAAATAACTATAGCTACCTTTAATTTCTATTAAATTCTTAATGAAAGTAATACCCTTCAGTATAGACTTTTAGTTGCTTTTATGCTGCACAGCTATCTAATGTTAAGTATTTTCTCAAAATATATGTCAAATATCAACTGATAAAAATTAAGCTATATTACTATAGTTTCAAATATTAATCAGATATTATACAATTTTTACTGTAAAGCATAAATCAGTCTTCAAAGTCCTCAGAAACAATAAAATTCTATATGTAAATACTCATAGCAGCTGTTTTTTTAGACTATTACCTCCATGTGGAAACTAGATATTCCAACTTGACATGATGCAAAATTATCTCCAAAATTTTTCACATAATCTAAAATAAAATAGAAAAAACAATTCAGGATTTCATATAAAGACAAAATCTGTGTAACTTTATTTTATGAAGGATAGGTGCCTAGGCCAGGACACAAATGAAAAAAGACCAGAATGGACACTCCTAGTTCTGCCACCAGCCAATGTTTGACCAAAGGCAGAAAAAGGGGGGAAATTCAGCTTTCATAGACAATGACTATTGTCCTCATTTCCTAAGCCTCAGCCCCTTCACATTTATTTGCAAATATGGATAGACATTTGGGTAAGAAAGAGCTTAAAAACTGAGGTGGGGGCTCCTTTTGCTACCAGAGGGTTGAACCTGAAAAAAATCAGATGATATTCCTTGGTCACAGTTTTCTCCTCTATAAAATGAAGGCATTTGACTCAAAAAACTGCCAGAATTTCTCCCATATCTAATATTCTAAGATCTACTGCCTAATTTCATTTACTTTTCAGTATATGCGATCACCAACCAGAAATCACACGTATTTCATTCCCATTTTTTTTAATAGTTCCTCCATTAAAAAATCCTAATTGGGGGGGGGGGGGCCCACATACAGGCTTCCTAGATTTTTCTCAGTTGAGGGTCTCTTATTATGAAGGCCCCATGGATGGATACTTTTGGAACTTGCTATGAACACAAAGCTTTGCTTCTGAAACACTGACATCAGTAAACCCCTATGAAAATAAGAATCAAGACCATATCTTCGCTTTGGTTTTCTAACTAGAAAACTTAAAAGGATTGCTGTCATTATAATTACTATACTCTGTCATGATTTTCACTCATTTTTATATCTTCCCCGAGCCTATTTTTTCCACTTATAAATTTCCCCATAATTTTAGTTATCTTATATTTATGTCATCTTGAATTTTTTTATAGAATATGACTAGGTATATCTGAGCAAAACTAAAAACAATTATGAAAATATTTCAAAGTATAAACCATTAGGAAGAAGAGGATAATAAAAGTGCAGAATACTAGACTGAGTTTTACTGCAATTAAGAATTCAAAATTCACCTTTTATTTTCTTGCCATCCAAAGGCCAATCAGGAATATATATGATATAAGCTTCTCCATGATATCAAATGTTAATTTAATAGAGTCAGTACCTGAATTTGCTTATTTGTTCAAAATTTTGTCAGGTGAAAGATACTTTCTTGGAGACGAAGGTAATCATTTTGGTTAGAAAAGTTGTGATGTATATTTATTTAATGCTGAGTTTTCCAAAGACAGATTTTTAGTATTTGTTCTGTTGCAGATATATTTTTTAATGCTCTATTGACATTCACCATGAACTCTTTTCACTTTCATTGTTTATTTATGTTCTAACTCTATGTGCAGTAATGCTACCTAGAACCTAGAATTTTTATGGGAAAATCTTTCAAACTTATGATACCAATCCCTTGTTAGTTAAAGAAAAACAAGTGAATTTGAAAAAAAAAATGTGACAAATATTTGCTTCCATTATACTTGAATCTTTCTGAATATTATTTGCAGCTAAAGATAAAGCAAGTAACCTAAATAGTTTTTTTTTTTCTCACTGATCAGATGTTTCAATGTAACTTCACGATTTTAAGTGTCCTATAATTGTTGAGAATTAGACTCAAATATACCGAATTGAAAATGTATTTAATGCAGAAATTGGTAATTATCAACTAGATTGTAGAATTATTCAAATTAAACTGTAGAATTTCCTAAATACACAAAGTGCATTTATGAAAACCAATAAAAAAAGGAAAGGGTACTTTGAGTACTTAGAAAGGACACATCTATTTCAAAAATCCCCTCCCCACACATCTAAAATTGAAAATAATTTTTAGAAATTCAAAGTCATTCACTTGTTTCTTTTGATCTAGTTAATATGAAAATCTTCTCTTACCTTGATAACATGGAGCTAGTCTTTTACTCAGTTCTGTTCGTAAGTTAGAGGGCATTCTATAGCAGCCACCCGTGGGGAGCTTATTTTCATTCTTCATGTAAAATACATTTTTCCATCTATGCCCACAAGTCTGAACGAAACATAAAAGTAGACTCAATTATATGAAAGTCACACCCAGAACATCTGATGTCATGATGTGATCAGTGGACCAATTCCGATAACCTACCACGATGGATCCATTTTCTCCTGGCTGTCTGGAAAGCGTGACTCCCAACCACTGATTGTCTCTTTCTTCCAGACAAGTCTTTCCACAAGGGTCTCCATGAGGGCTACCTACCACATTTGAAAACAACGTTATCATCAGTTACCTTGAAAACTATGTTGTTCTAGCAGAGCAAAGCAAATGAACACATCATGCTTATCCCCAATGTTTTTTACCTTCAACCACATGTGAAGTGCCCCAATCCCTGCTTATGTGTCATCTTATATTCAGTGCACAGTGGGGGTGGGGGAGTAACTGTGAGTTATATAACTGAGTTACTTGATACAAATGTGTTTCCTCGAAAGGCGATTTTTATTTGTAGAAATGACTGGGAGGGGAGTGACCAGTTTACACCAACATAGGCTGTGCAAAACCAATGGCAATGTAGAATGCTTGGTGAAGAATTTCCACCTTTGCTTGGACCATGTATCTAGCATTATTGACAACATCATCAGAGAACTTTATTAAGACACACCTTGTATTGAGACATTAACAATAAAAGACAGTATGGTCTTCAGCACTGAAGTCGGTTTCTTGAAGCTGAAAGGGGGTGACTGAGCATGTGGAAATCGGCACTGTATGTACTGAGCATGGTGACACCGACTAGCATTGAACGCAAACTACCCATTTAGTTGATGATGACTGCTCTCAACAAGGGAGAAAAGATGTTAAAAGACAGATGATCTCAGTAGTAAATAAAAAAGCTTTGGTAGCACTTTGGCAAGTACACGAATAGAAAGAAAACTAAACATAAAAATTACTCGTGGGCAATACAGTACTCCTAAATTGTACAAAAGAAAGTCATCTACACACTGGTAAGGTTTCCCTTCTGTTAGAGTGGCTTCTTTGCTTTATAGCTAGTATCCTGTAGTCAAGTAAGTTCAATTAAGTGATTTTTAGGGAAGAATAAGGTGCAGGACCTTAGGAATCCTTTTGCTGTCTGCATTTCCACCCTCTTCGATTGGCATGCAATAGCCTATTCCACCCGGGCTTCCTTCCAAAGGCAGGCCGATGTATGTGCATTAGTATTATTGGAAGAATGTGGAACTTGGGTTTGTTTATTTCACTTTGAACACTGGTCACTGTGTTCATACATTCATAGGAACCATTTTCTAAGTCAGGCACTGTCTCCTCCAATAACCTTAACCGCTCAAGTTTCCTGGGCAAATTCAGAATGCCTATATCAATAAGGTTTGAAAGCAAAATTATTTGCAGAAAATCATCTGGGTAGGAGAGATTTTGTTTTAAGGAGTATTGGGGGATGAATTGTGTATACACTTGTTTGTTCTCCAAGATGTTGGTCAGGAAAAACAGCAAAACCCTTAACACAACAGAACTGAAGAAAGCTTCCCAGTCCCTGGAAGATTCTGTTTTAGTTGGTTCAGGTGAGGCCCTGACTACCCCAGATGATTCCCATGATCTGAAAAGAATTAGCAATTCTTTTGGATTATGTTGTGCTCTGGCCAGGTTTCCTGTAGAATAGTGACTGGCAAGGCCCACCTATTGGCAGGGGCTGCTTGGAGCACAACAGTGAAAGGAAGACACCTAAGGATGGGTCTGGAAGAAGAATGCTGGGTTGATTAGCAATGTCTATTTGGAATAGGAAGAATCTTGCTTCAGCCCAAACCTTGGCAAAAGATAGTCCCAGTGGAAACGTAAGGTCTCTATGTTAAAACTAAGAAAAAGAAAAAGGAAGAGGGAAAGAAAGAGAGTGAATTGTATTGTGTGCTTCGGTAGGTAGGGTCTCATACAGAGTTTGATTGTGGCTACATGATGTCAACATAATGGAAAGAAAGTGAAAGAGACTGACATGAAATTTTAATGTTCATTGTGATGCAATTTTCAGTTTGACTTTTCAGTAAAATTGCCAGTTGTTTTTTTGTTTTTTGTTTTTACTAATGTCAAAAACAGATGATAAATGATAGACCCTGTTTACTTGAAGTTGAAGTTCTTATTATTTACAATAGACACTTCAATTAAATATCTTCCAAGAAAATACCAAAGTCTTCTAAATTTACAATCACTAAGGCAACCAAGTAGGAGAAAAACTAAGGACAGGAGAGGAAGAAGGTCACAAATAACACACATCTCTATTAAAATGTGGTGTAATATAATGGACACTTTCATCAACATTATACTCAATATTTAGAAACAAATTTACTGTTCTAGAGATGCACCCCAAGTTTTTTTTTTTTTAAGTAAACATATAATAGTTGAGAACCACACAATACTATGTTAAGTTGCTTGAGAAAAATGGCTAAAATTTTTTATCTGCAAAAATAGTGAATTGTTATTGTTTGTTTCTTGGCTGAGTCTTTAAATTTAAAAATGAAGACTAGAGAAACACCTGTGTAACAACGGTTTTCTGGAGCCATCGAGGATTCCACCTCATATTCTCTGTTTTCGTTTTTAGCTCCACCGGCATGTCACCACTGCTCAGAATCTCACACTTTAGGCTCACTCACATCATAACCAAACTACTCACTTTCCCACTTTTTTGGTGTCCCTTCCCTCAAACATCTTTCTCTCCATGTCTGAGAACCTCTCAGATCTTTGGGACTTACACCAATGCACCATGCCTCCACCCCATCCCCCACTTCTTAAGCCTTTGGCCTGATTACACCAGCATTCCTGCTTCTTCAGCTTGCCCATGGCAGGTCCTAGGACTTTCTCAGCCTCCATAACGGAGGGAGCCAATTGTGAATCTCCTTGTAGATCGACGGAAAGGTAGGTAATGGATAAATCTATCTAGCTACCATGTCAGTTCTGTTTCTCTGGTGAACCCTGACTAATACAAATACATTATTTATTCACAACTATCCTGTCTACTTTCCAGGCTTAGTAAATAATGACCTACTTCATTTTGACCAGTACTAAGTCTGGTTCCTGACTAGCTCACCTCTGGCACAGAGTGTGCTGAAAATGGAAGTTCAATAAATGAAAAGCAATTCAAAGCTTTGACTGGTTTGTTTCGACTGAGTGTCTGATCTTCTATTGTGTTTTTATCTTAACGGACAAAAGGATAAATGCCCCGGCAGAAAGGAAATTCACAAACCAACACAGACATGAGCCAATTACCCTTCCACACAAGAAATAAAAACGAGTTCTAATCAGTGAACAAACAGACTCACAGTTATGGAGGGCTCTCCTTTTCTTCCTAACACCTTCTGCCGCCACGGTCATACTTTCAGCACCGGTTACAAGACAGGAGCAATTCAAAAAATGCCTGTAAGTCCCCACTACCACTCTAGGGCTTTTCTTAATTTCCAGGGACTTTTGTGTACTGTTTTCTTCTTGAATGCCTACAGAATCTTGGCAGAGAAATAAGACCTTCTTCTCATCAGTTTACACTCGGGGCCTCCTCCAGAGCTTTTCCTTAACCTGGCTTGCTCCTAAGGCCGCTCCTTTATCACGTGGTTCCCGGCCTTGACCGGGCATGAGGCTCACCTGGGAGAGTTCTGAACAAATCCCGACACCTGGTTCCTGCTCCCAGCGGCTCCCTGCGATGTGATTCGCCTGGGTTCAGACCCAGGAGTCAGAATTATCCTAAAAGCTCCCTGGGCAGTTGTAGTGTGCCCTTGGGCTTGTGAGCATCTGCTCTGCCATGTAAATGCTGTGCTTTTCCTGCATTATGTCATATCTCAAAAGAAACCACTTCCTTTAAAAAATAATAATAGAGGGAGGGGGCAGGCTATAAGGAGTCATTGGGGAGGGGAAAATGGAGACATATGCAATACTTTCAACAACAAATATTTTTATAATAATATCTTCTTTGCTCCTTGGTTTTGGCTAGATATTGAAAAAGGATATCAAATGCTAAGTAAATTTTTTTTTGTGTGTGTATAAATTCAGTATTTCTAATGTGGCCAGAAATGATGATGATTAAAACCGGCCTGAGAAAGATAATGTCAGGAAACTGAACATCATGAACAAACCCAGATTATCTTTATTTTTGACTTAAATGTCAGGCTGAAATTATTTATAATCTGGTTTTCAACTCAGCTCATTTATTACCAATGTAAACTCAGTCAATTAAATCAGCTTCATAATTAAGAAAGTACTTTACATGGCTTAACATGAAAGAGGTCAGCAGAAATCAACATGTGATAATTTTCCATGCTTTTATACAACTAGAATGACTAATTCTTAGCACAGTTGAATGCATTTTCCCAATAGACATTAAAAATACAAAGCTATATTCTGAAAACTGAAACCCATCTTTCTCTTTTTTATTTTTCATTTGGGAAAGGAAATATAAAGAAGTATGCTTACCGCTTCATTTAAAAAAAATTTACATCTACTGTTTTTTGTATCAGTATATGTACATGTATGTATATTAATATGAATAAGCGGTAACTCCAGTAGATGAATATAAACGATGTTAGTACAAAGCCAGTTAGGTACACTTTTTGCCACCTCCTTTTGTTGCTATTCTTTAGTGTCATTGTTCCAAGTTTGAAAAATATGAGACTATGGAAGGGTATTCGATCTTGAATGTCACCTCCATGAGGGCAGGTACTTGTATTTTGTTGACTGTGACACTCCCACAGCCCAGAACAGGGCCTACCTGCAGGAGGCTGGGATGAAATACATATTTGCTGAGGGAGGGAATTCTGAAGTACATTATACCACCACAAATTCTTTACTAGATTTACTGATCATTCACTGCAGCGATTTTCAACCTTTTCCATCTCATGGCACACATAAGCTAACTACTAATATTCGGCAGCACACCAAAAAATATATAGTTTTTCCTGATCTGATAAAAAGTAAATAGAATAGGTATAATTTTGATTCATTCACACCTCTCATGGCACACTGGTTGAAAATTGCTGCTTTACTGCAATAATTACACCACACTCTCAGGGATCTAAGCTTTGGAGATCTTCTTTCACTACTATTCTTCCTTACTTCTCTTCTAACACGTTGCCTTGAGTTTTAAGATGGTAATAGATGGTCTGAAGGAAAACCGTGTTTGCTGGTTTGAAAGTCCTTACAAAATGGGGTATGTGAGCAGGACTATTTAAAACGGAGAGTCAGCTGGGCCCACAGGAGGTGTCTGTCTCACAGC